CATTTTGACTTCATTCCTACTTGTACCTCTGAAAGGTTTCCACGAATCCACATACATACAGGATAGACTTTACTCTGCATTACAGATTGACAAGAACATTTTTGTTTTATTATTTCAATGTAATCTTAATTGTTATCAGTTACCTTCCCAGTCTATAAGTTACCAGATTAATTGCTCAGAACAATATCTAATAGCAGCAGTTACCATAAATATTTAACACCTTTTAAATTGAAACAAACACTATCATGAGTCATTTTCGAAAGCTATGCTTTTAGTTGCCTGGTAACAAATGACCAACAATCAATGAAGCTGTATTATTGAGCCATTTTCAAACAAATGGCTCAAGGTCAACTACTCATTTATTTAAAATAATATGGATCACACTGCCTAAACATTTAAAGTTGTTATTTTTACAATAAAGAAATGGAATCTGCATCATTGTTTAGGAATATTGCGATCATTTGTCTGCTTTAAGTAGAATTAAATTCATTGTAATAAACCTTTAACAAATGAGGATATAAGGATCTTTGATGAAAGCTGGGAATACTAAACCATCTTTTAAATTTACACAGCTAAGATTTACATCTTTGTTGAAGAAGTGCATCATTAGATTTGCATGTATCGTAATAAAGTTTCAACATGGCATATAACATCACAAACAGTACAGGATCAGAAGAAATTAATTATGAGTATGACATTTTCTCTGTAACTATCCGAGTTGTATTTACTGTGTGGATATGTGGAGGAAATGGCTTGGTTATAGCTGCATATTTAAGATACAAGACATTACAATCTGTCACAAATTATTGGATTTTAAATTTAGCCATTGCAGATGTTTTTATGGGATTACAATTTATTGTTGAACTTATGCAAATTGGACTTACATATACTTTTGAAAGCCAAGTCAAGTTTTTCCTTATTTGTGCATTTCTAACAATATTCTTCAACATTGCAATTATGATGTCACTACTGGCCCTACTTGGTGTGACAATTGACAGATACATAGCAATATTTTGGCCACTGAGGTATCCAGACCTTATGACACACAATAGAGCCAAAATAGCTGCTGGTTCAATGTGGGGTATAGTCATTGGGTACAGCTGTATTTCAATAATAGAATTACGTATGAGGACTGCTTCACCAGTTTGCTTACCAGAACATACATTTTCTATATTCACACCAGTATTTATCTTAACAGCATTAGTTATGATCATTCTCTACATACGTATCTTCACAGTGGTGCACAAACAATCCAAAATGATCGCTCCCCATGAACAACCTAGTACCAACCAGGAATATGCTAATGTGAAGACGAACTTGATTATTTTAAAAACTGCTGTAATAGTCTTAGGAATATTTCTATTTAGTTGGATTCCTGTAATTACGATGAGTGGGGTCTATCTGTGGGGCACAATTGCTGAGAATAATTCAGTTTTCCTACGAGTATTTGATTACTCTGGGTTTCTTGGAGCTAGTAACTCTGGAGTCAATCCTCTCATATACAGTTTAAGACTTAAACAATTTCGAAGAGCATTCTGTAAATTGCTTCACATTAAAACTGAAAATATTGAGGAATAGATTAACAATCTGTGGCTTAAAGACAACTGATTTAATACAGGGTGACCCCCATAAGTGCAACCCTCTAATCTTGAAATATCTCAATTTGATTATTCTGGGCTTCTTAGCACAAGTAACTCTGGAGTCAATCCTCTTATATACAGTTTAAGACTTAAACAATTTCGAAAAGCATTCTGTAAATTGCTCCACATTAAAAGTGGAAACACAGAGAATTAACGTTTATCACTCTATGGCTTAGGGAATTGAATTGATAGCACCACATACCAGACTTGGTATTGTTTTTTAATCATTTCATCTTAGAATTCAAAATCATGTTCTCTTGAATACCAGAGCATATTCTTTTTTGCTTAATTTTTACATAAAGTGTATCTATCTTATTATAAAATGTTTGATTTTCTTTTTAGTATTATAACTAAACACAGAAAATAACACATTTTAATACATATCTTGAATAAAACAAAGTGTGTCAAAGTCTAGCCATTTTAGATTGAAATTCTGGGTTTGGTATATTCATCAATATATTATACAGGGTGGGCAAAATCAATGAAAATTGAGAAGGTATGTTTTGACCCCCATGTCACATAATTGGTTATATTTCTATATGGAGTTGTTGAAAATGGTGCTATTATATATCATTTTGTTGCAAATTAAATTATCTTTAATATGATATATCATTGTTGGTGTGATTGTTAAAAAATAATTATTTATCAGGAATATTGGCTAGGGGGGTGGTTTTTTGCCCAACCTGTATATTCAAGGGGTTTTAAAAAGATAAAATCTATCAACTTGTGTGATAAGGGATTATGCATGCATGTGTTGATTATAATTTTAAAATTATTTGTGTTTTAAAAGGAAATATGTATGCTTGTAATACTTTTCAACCACGATGGAATAAATCTTACATGTATATAACGCAAGGTATAAATGTGACATTAATAGACCCCTTAATATTGACCTTCAAAATAGCATGACACTTTATATTCACACATTACTCAGTTTTCGTTATATTATAAGAATATATATCATACAATTACATGTATAAGCCCTTTCAAACTTTGATTTCCAAGGTACCGGTATATACATGTAGATTGTCTTGATTCGAAAGCTGAAATCAATGTTACAAACAACACTTGGTAGACAACCGTTTACCTTACTTTACAAATTGGCAATTAAGTGAGCACCTCTGTATAAATAATGTTTAATTTCATATTTACCACAGTTTCAGTTTTCAAGACTAATTGCATCCATATCTTCAAATAATAACAGCACTTAGACATAAATTTACCATAAACAAATATCAAACACATTAACAGCACAAACAGATTCAAACATTGAGTTGAATGTGAAGTATTTCAGTTGCCTGGATACAAATGACAAATTGACAATGCTGAAGTAATTTAGACCACCTTTTTAAAAAAATGTAAGTCTAAATGTTTTAACTACAGTATTTGCATCCAAATCATTCCCTTTTATTAGGAGGCTCGTTGGGGAGCCTTCAATTTATTTTATATGTATTTTACATATGTTTACACAATATTTTTCTCCACCTTTCCTCGTTCCCTTGAGGAAAGCAAATCTGAGTTACAGGCAATATAATGTAAGTCATCTTAGATATAAGCCACCTCTGTTGATGAGATAAAAAGACTAATTCAGTAACTTAGTAAATGAGGTCGCAACTAAGTAACTAACCATCTTACTAACTATATTTGTAATTAACTTTATCCAGGTAATTTAGTGACAAGCAAATTACTAACTAACTAGTTATGTAACTAGGTAACTTAGTAAGCAATTCAGTAGCTTAGTAAATAATAGACTATATAACTAACCAAGTAACTTATCAAGTAACACTGTAACCAATTTACTAAGTACATGTAGCTAACTAATTAACTACTTTATTCACTTACTAAATAACTACTTTATTCACTTACTAAATAACTAACTTAGTAACCATGTAACTAACTCTGTAACTAACTCGCCAAGTACTGAAGTATTTTGTTACTAATTCACTCACTTACTTGCTAGCTTGGTTACTTGATGGTTACTTACTCACTTACAGTATCTACTATCTACTGGCTAAAAAGTATTTTGGGCCTCCGTAATATTGCTTGCAATCTTGATGTTTAATTATATCTGACATATTGGACATACTGTGAATAAAACGAATAAAATCAGTGAATAAAACATAACCTGATCATTAGATATTCATTATCTTTCAACAGATCTATAAAAGTTTATACTACAAAAATAAATTTGTAGTATTACAATACAATTTTAGCATTATGGTCAATGGTTCAGATTCATTTAATGAAGATGAAAGTTTTTCACCAACTCATCATGTGATAACCACCATCCGAGTTTTATTTTTCATATGGATATGTGGAGGAAATGGCTTGGTTATAGCTGCATATTTAAGATACAAGACATTACAATCTGTCACAAATTACTGGATTTTAAATTTAGCAGTTGCAGATTTTGTGACAGGATTACAACTAATTGTTGAAATAATAGCTGAAATATTGCCAAATGGAGCCGTGCATTCAATTAAACACACAAGGCCAAGCACAGAGTACTTTCTTATTTGTGCCATTCTTACAATCTTTTTCAGCTGTGCCATATTGATATCACTACTGACACTACTCGGAGTAACAATTGACAGATACATAGCAATATTTTGGCCACTGAGGTATCAAGACCTTATGACATACAATAGAGCCAAAATTGCTGCTTGTACAATTTGGGGTATAGTCATTGGGTACAGCTGTATTGCAATAGCAGAATTACGAATGAGGCCTGTTCCATCAGAGATGACATCATCAGCATGTATCCCAGAAAACATTGACTATTTGTATGCACCAGTGTTTACCTTAACAGCCGTAATTATGATCATTCTCTACATACATATCTTCACTGTGGTTCATAAACAATCCAAGATGATCACTCCCCATGAAGACACTAGCACCAACCATGAATACACTAGCACCAACCATGAAGACACTAGCACCAACCATGAAGACACTAGCACTACAAAGATTTCAAGGAAGAACTTGATCATTATCAAAACTGCTGTATATGTCCTTGGAATATTTTTATTTTGCTGGATACCTACTATAACTGTCAGTGGGTTGTATGTATGGGGTACAATTTCAAAGAATAACTTAGTTTTTCTTAGTATCATGGAATATGCTAAGCTTCTTAGTATAAGTAACTCTGGGGTGAACCCTCTTATCTACAGTTATAGGCTGAAACCATTCCGGAGGGCATTCTGTAAATTGCTTCAAATTAAAATTCAAAATATTGAGGAATAAACGTTGACAATGTAGCCGTATGGCATCAAATATTTAACAAGATACTGAGAGTTAAAAGGTTATAACAGCATAATGATTCACCTATTTTTTATTTTCATTTTTTCAATTTATACAAACCTTAGTTTTAGGACTTTTATACTTCATATAGGCTGCTATTCCAGCGATCAATCCTCCTCCCCCTACAGGCACCAGGACATAGTCTACGCTGGGTAACTTCTCTAGTATTTCTAAACTGAAACACAGTAGTAACAGTAGATCACTACAGATAGAAATAGGTTTAGAATCTTAGGTAAAATATTTCCCTCGTGAATTCTGAAAGTGCAAAGTGTAGTATTACATTAGTGTTATTAGTATTACAGTATTTACCCTATAGTGCCTTGTCCTGCGATCACATCCAGGTCATTGTAAGGAGACAAAAAGGTAACACCATTAACCTGAAATTAACCACATCCATTCTAAAAGGTAAAGGACGATTCTCGGTTTGGAGAACGAAGTTCATCAATCTAAACTGAGATCTAAATGAGCATTATCCCTGCTTCGGACAAATTTGATTTTTTTACATTAATATAGATTTGAATGTCTTCTTTTGAATAGTCATAATTTAAATTGGGTAATATTTCTAGATTTTTCGCAAAAAAAAATATTAGCACAGTACATTGATGAACTTCTCTCCCCAAACTGAGACTTGTATTTTATTGAATCGTCAAATTGAGCGTTATCCCTGCTTCAGACCAATTTGTTATTTTTACATCTTGTAGATTTAAATGTCCTCTTATATTCATAGTTTAATTTGGGTAATATTTCTATATTTTTCATGAAAAAAATTATTAGCCCAGGAGACTGTTCTCCAAACCAAGAATCGTCCTTTGCAACTCTACGCCAATATGAATAAATCAATACATCTAATAGGTTAACACTTATATTAAGACAATGAACACTGCTGTTTCCAATTGAAGTGTTCTCAATCTAAAGAGTTTATAATAATGATATAAAATGGGCCTCAAAATGTGATATCCAAAAGTGGGCCTCAAAACGTGACATCAAAAATGGGCCTCGAAGCATAATGTCAAAAATGAGGCTCAAAATGTGATATCCAAAAATGGGCCTCACAAATGTTCACATATTGAGGCATTCATTTAAAAATGGAGTCTCTCTTATGTCTCTACACAGACAATCAGTGATGTCCCATTATGTTTGCTCATATAGCATCTTTCATACCTGGAATATATCTGAGGTATATAGGGAGACAAACTTATGGGCACAGAATTGCCAATATATTGAGAAAATCAACAAAACAACCGGCTATAAGGATTGAATGCAATCAGAGACGTCATCAAAAGAAATTCCCACCATGTGACATGAGTGTTGAACCCAGGCAGCCAATCAGATTCAGAGGAGGTATTTCAATTAAATTTCAATTCTCTGACCATCAAGTTAATAATTCATTTCTCCATACAATCATGAAATTGACACTGTAAATATTGTAATTTTGACACTGTAATATTGGTTGCAAATCTGAAAACTAAAGCACATGCCACACAGTAAACCTGCCAAAACTGGAAAAGGGTGAGGAATTTTGACCAAAACATCTAACATTAGGATTGAGTACCCAGAGCAAAACAGAGAATTCACCATATACCTCAGCAGTTTCTCTGGCTTTATTTTCACAGTCCAAGCAATCAAGCCCAAATTGTTGTAATGTGGCCCCCTCCTGTAACAACACTTGCTTCTTCCCCTCGGCTACAATCTCGGGCACAAATATGGTTCCCTTAATTCCCAACGTCTTAAGAGCTAAATTCTGAAATTCAAAAAATATTGGATAATCATTACATTGCATTATAGCCAGATATTTTCCAATAATTGTTCTTTGGATTTGACATGCATTTCCTCATTTAGTAAACCTATGTGGTAATGAAATAATGGCTTCATTATTTCAGGATATCTAGCTGAAAAATAAGTCTTGGTTGCACATCTTTTTGACACGGATAGTTCAAAGTCTACCATAGAAATTCATCTTATCATTCCCAGTAACTAAGCCAAACTCGGAGTGATAACAAGGCATTAACATGACAAAATGTCACCACCTAGTGCTCACAATATATGAGTTCAATTATTAAGTCAGATTTGAATTTCTGAGAACTTGTAGGCCTAGATGATTTTGAAAAAATAAATTGTTCAATTTGAAGCAAGTTGAAAAAAAATTGACCCTGAGAAGGTCATTGAAGGTCAAAATCTTTTTGAAATCTCAAATCTAAAGTCAGATTAGAACTTCTGAAAACTTGTAGATGATTTTGAAAAAATAATTGGTCAATTTGAAACAAGTTGAAAAAAGACCTCTTAGACCTTGAGAAGGTCATTGAAGGTAAAATCTATAGTCAGATTTGAACTTTTGAAAACTTCTAGATGATTTTGAAAAAAATATTGGTCAATTTGAAACAAGTTGAAAAAATACCTTCTCCAGGTCAAAAAAGGTCAAAATCTCAAACTCAAGCCAGATTTGAACTTCTGATAACTTGTAGATGATTTTGAAAGAAAAATTGATCAATTTGAAGCAAACCTTTTGGTGGTGACATAAAAAGCAACACACCCAGTGATAGCCGCATCATTCCTTTTGCATATTCAAAGCATATGGATCAAAGTCAGCTTAGGACAAAGTTTTAGACATTGCAAAAGTCAGCTAGAAAATGGGCCTGCTGCTATAAAAAGAACACCTGACCTGACTTTTGTGACTTTTTCCTTTGGGGCTTCCTCAAGAGCAAAGTGTTCCCCTACCCTCTACAATCACCAACGGGTTGCTGTTCTACACTCAAACCCACATATGACTCAAAGAGTCATGCATGACAAAGAGAGATGAGCCCCTCTCTGTGTGAAAAGAAATGTTGGCCATTTGGAGAAGTATGAGATGTAATTTGGCGTGAATATGAGTAAGAACTTTATACACCACACCTTCCAATAGCACCTGGTCCCATGCGCTGTTTTTTGAAATGTCTAAAACCTGGTCCCTAGCTGATTTTGGCCCATTGTCCGAAAGGAATGTTTATTCAGCCAACCATGACCACAAATGGATAAATAATATATCGTTGAAGAGGAGAAAATTGGCTTCAAGGACCATGGAACATTGACTGAAATCAATGCAGTCATCACCAGTTTTGGAGTTTTATGATTTATTTGTTTGTTGCCTTTTTTATATGTACATACTATACTTCTACTTAATTTGGTGGCCATTTTAATATGGCAGATCTGCCAAATTGTTAAAGTCCGCCAAATTAAGTAGCCATCAAATTCCCCTGCAATATTCACCCTTGGTATACGCAGCTAACGAAAATTGACCGGTACGGGTCAAAAGCTGGACCGGTACGGGTTAACGGTTTTATTTGAATTTAAAACAGCCATAACTTGCTCAATATTGACTTCCTCGTGTCTAATTTGAAATATATGATGCCTCCCGATGCTTTTCAGTACCCCAATTTTTTACAGATTTTTAAACGGACCAAAACTCTCTAAATGCGCATTTATGCTCTTTTCTCTCGAGAACGACTGTCTCATTTTCACGATAACTTTTATTTAGTACTTCTAACATATAAGATCTATTTTTCCCCATCAAGGTATGATGTAAATGACATGCTATTTACATCTTGTGAGTTTCAATGACACACGTTTGATTTTATAAAAAAATGCCAAACTTTGTGACAAAGAATTTTTATAGCTATTGCCCCGAACCGGTCCGTCTTCTCGCTGCAAGGTATTGCCCCGAACCGGTCCGTCTTCTCGCTGCAAGCAGGAGGAAATTCTTTGTCACAAAGTTTGGCATTTTTATCATGTTTTTTCCACCAACAATTATTTTGATATTAAAAGCCTGTTTTGACAACGTTGAATGTTAACGTTTGAGTTACGTCACATATGGACCAATGTAGTAAAAAATCAAACGTTCCTTTTTGTTATGTTTTCCACACTAACGAACTTTAAGGACATGTTACAACAACGTTCTTTTTATACCATCAATAGATGTCTCATGTTTACGTTGCCTCGATGTGTAAAGAACGAAAATTTGCAACGTCTTCTAGCAACTTATATCCTACTTAGAGCAACGTGACATGGGCGTCACTGTTTGCTGGATCGATTCTTTTAAAAAGTGCTCTGTTTCGTATAGGGTAAAAATATCGAACAGCAGTGCACTCGGTAGGCTAAGTCTGTCAAGTCAACTCGCTACTATATATCGGGGGAAATGTGGAACTTTGAAAGTTGGTAACCCTGCTAGGAACGTTAGGTACCCGGTCGACCAGGTACCCGGTTACCCAGTCACCCGGTTTTTTGCACAAACCCTTTGTCACAATATAATATTTACCATCTACTCTTCCCTTGAAAATATAATCGGTAGGGAATGTACTAAAAACCCTTCGACCCTTCGACCCTACGACCTACGACTTACAGGGTGTCAAGAATTTTTGGAATATATTTTTATAAAAACCCTTCGACCTTCTAGATATTTCTCAGTCCATATGAAGTTGCTGGAAATATTACTTTGTGTATAGAACTTAAGAATCTGTCCCAAGAGAGTTAAAGATATTTAAAGCTGGACTTCGATCGGAGCCGGCGATATGATTTTGGAAAGGTTTCTAAATGAAGAACGTGACGTCACTTCCGAATCATAGCATTCAAAATAAGTAGCGTTTAATTACTTCCACCATTCATAAAATCACGGTGGTCTAGCGGAAGAATGCTCGCTTAGCACGCCGGGGGGCCCGGGTTCGAATCCCGCATTCCCTTTTTTATTTTTTTTAACTAAATGATTGTTCTTTGACATTACGCAGATAATTTTTTTTATTTACATAAACTTTATATTAGAGCTTGAAAATGTAAAAACAATATATGTCAACATATTGCGTTTTGGAGCGATGTGCAGGTTTAATGTATTCAACACATTCGAATGTGAACGTTTCTTACCGATCCTCAGTAAAAATATTTGTGCTTTTCCCATCACATTGTAACAGTGGCGCATCGTGCATATTTTCAGGAGGTCAAATTTTTTATATAGTTTAAAGAGAACCGTCTTTTGATTTTATCAACTTTGATTCAATTTGGATTTGTATAGTTAAGAATCTAATGCCAACTAAATAAGTAGATTCTTTGTTTTGCATCCTACAAAATCCAAAGCATGCAAGGGTACAAGGAAAATAAACACAAACCGTCAAGAAAAAGCTTGCAAGCTAGGTCATATCAGGTTCGTATAACCAGCTTTTGCCAACTTAAGTTTTTCAAAAGGATCAAGGGGTGAACATTTGAAAATTTTCAAGTGGCCCAGAAATCTTGAAAATGCTCAGAATCGTGAAAAATTGTACTGATTTTGAGAGAATATTTGGCCAATGGAGTGGTCCACTTGAACCCACGAATGTCCCCCCTGAATATATACATTTTAAGGGAATAAAGGTTATTACAAACACATCTATACAACTATATTCGTAAAGGCTAGAGTACCGACAATTGTCGGTACTCTAGACTCTGATGTGGTGGCACGCTAGAGGACCGACAAATAAATTGTCGGTACGGGAGATATGCTGTGTTTACACGCTAGAGGACCGACAAATATTGATTTTCGAATTTTCTGGTGCATGCGCAATGCGCGGGGGGATATTTCAGATATCATACGGATATTTTGGGAACAAGTGCAAAACCAGGGGAGGGCATTAGCCCCGGTTACCCGGGGATTACCAAACCCAGTCAAAAAATGGTAGCCCGGGAACAGGGAATGGTAATCTAGTAAATGTTGAAAACCCAATGAAAAACATGAACAAGTAAGACGTTAGAGAGCTATTAATGCAGAGTAAACGGCTATATATATTCTAAACAGACAGGATATTTCTCCTGAGCCGATCAGGCGTAGAAAGGGGCGTTTGCTACCCATTAGATAGAAGAAAATAGCTAGAATGTTTTTTATTTGAAGCTTATCGTATGGTATGAGGTTCCATATCCATCCTCCAAAAGGTATGACCCCTATATAGTCCATTTAAAAACCTGTGGTATCGTTCTAAATAACCCATAGTTTGCTTCTAGGGTACCTAGTATGCCACTATTTGGTATCAAAATAAAGAGGAGTTCAACTTTCATTTGAATTATGAAAATAGCGATGTAGGTCAAAATAGTTCAGAACGTGAGCATGTTTACTACGCGTTTGCCCGTCATATCAGAATTGAGGAAGTGGTAGCAAACGCGAGTTACAATAAACGGACGCTGATTTCTCAAAAACTAACCTGACTCCCTATAATTTGATGTTGGCCAATCGAACCCCTATATGGACAGGTGCATTTTGATTTATAACACTATGGGGGTAAGCGTTTCATAGTTGGTCACGAACGCCATATGTGCAAAGTATTGTTATGAATTTTCGAATTTGGTGTTGGATTACGGTACTCATACCTTATAGCACAATTTTTGATGAAAGTTGCATTTGGCTCCCTTAGTTAATGGCCACGATTCCATCTCGCATGAGAGAGCTACCAAACGCAAAGTAAACAGTGATATATTCCAAATGAGATATTTCTCCTGTGCCATGGCGTAGTAAGGGTAGAGGTCGACGGGGGCGAAAGCATCCCCTCCCCTAACTGTATATATCGACCCATTAGATAGAACAAGAAAAGAGCTTTAAAATGTTTTTTAATTGAAGCTTGTAGGACAATTTTGATGGAAGTTGAATCAATTTTTGTCGAAATAAATTATGGCTCACTACAAGTTAATGCCTGTACGATTCCATACTGCAAAAGAAGCACTATGCCCCCCCCCCCTCAAAAGAAAAAAGTAGGTCCGGGATTCGAACTCGGGACCGAGTGTGTTCGGGAGGGGTGCACCCCAGTTGTCCGAAACCCAGTTGTCCGAAACCCAGTTGTCCGAAACCCAGTTGTCCGAAACCCAGTTCTCCGAAACCCAGTTGTCCGAAACCCAGTTCTCCGAAACCCAGTTGTCCGAAACCCACTTGTCCGAAACCCATAACTCCGAAAAATATAGTCATAATTTACCAGAGAAAGGGGAGACGTACTAAGCTTAGGCCAGTTTCATGCCATGTATTTGGCCAAATTAATGGCATTGACGCATTCTGATGTTCATAGATCTCTCTCTCTCACTTGCATCCATTACATGGCATTACCAGAATGGCAGGAACGGGGGATTTATTTTACATTGTGATTCTAAAAAAAGGTTATCAAAACACAATATATATTACAGAACAGTTTATCTTATCTTCTTCAATCTCTTTTATATAGGCAAAATAAAATGAATCATTTTAAAACAGATAAAATAAGTTTACGCATATAGTACTTTAAGAATAAAACAGTATACATATTACGTTGTCAAAATATTTCGTCGCATTTAATTTCTTAGTCTCTGTATTTTATCAAATCGTAAAAGAACAAAACATTCTTAACTTAATCACTTGGGATCAACTGGAAACGAAGGCAGGCTGTCCTCGTATCAAAATGGATGTTCTCCCATTCGCAAGAAGTTTCATTTTCGCCATGTACTCACTTCATCCTTTTAATTCAATCTCTATTTCTCGAACAGAGTACGTAAATGAAGAATAAGTTTTGGTTTCAAAAGATGTACATGTCAACTTTACTAAATAAATGCCCACTGGCTTGGGAAAGCTATTTTTCCTTTTATGAACGCTCATCACCCATTGGAAAAATGTTGTTCCCTATCAAAAAAGGCCCATGGGCCATAAAGAAAATTGGTTTAAAAATTGTAGACCCCTATCTATGTATGTTGTGTAAACGCCATTTTACAATGAGAATAACATAATTTAACTTTGTTTGTTTGAACATCTATATCACCTGTATATGAACTTTCGTAGGCTAAACATTAAACATTTAACGTCTTGACTTAGCATATTTAGCCTAATTTTGCAATGATGTCAACGTTATTCCAATGTTATGTTGTGATTCGCAGAGGTTGCGACAACGAGATTCGTTTAAAAAAATTGTATTTTTCAAATAAGATCCCCTAATTTTCGGAGAACTGAATTTCGGACAACTGGGTTTCGGAGAACTGGGTTTCGGACAACTGGGTTTCGGAGAACTGGGTTTCGGACAACTGGGTTGACCCCGTTCGGGAGTCGTCCTCGCTAACCACTAGACTACCAGTGATGAGGTTATCTCTAAAAGTAAAAGTAGTGCATTTATTTATGAAATTGTCGGCTCTCTAGCAAAAACACGTAGCAGCCACTTGCGTACCGACAATTGTCGGTTCTCTATCTGGCACTACTAGGTGACGATAGAGTGCCGACAATTGTCGGTACCCAAGCAAATACCCCTGGACAGTCTCCAGTACCGACAATTGTCGGTCCTGGAGCCACTCCGAATAAACCACTCCGAATAAAACGTAAAATTTATTAGACATAGATATGAAACATTTCAGAACTAGATAACAGCAACGCGAGGTGGAGCAAATCCCATCAAACTTTTGATCTCAAAATCGTTCAACTACTTTTCAAGTTTTAGTAAAAAAGTAAAATAAGACGAAAAATTTCGAACGCAATGCGTGGCATATACGTAATTCGCGTGAAAAGTCCGAACGAAATGCGTACGTTTTTTTTTCGGCGCTCATATTTTTGCTGTGTAGACGAACTTTTTTAGAAATTTTTCTACTGAAACATTTTTGCTTGACAATTACCAGCTAAAATGCGTATTTGCGTGCACAGGGAGCTCAAGTTGGAACTATACGTAATCATTTAGTAAACTGGACTGGGAAATCAGAGGTCGAAGGGTTTTTCAATAAAATATATTCCAAAAATTCTTGACACCCAGTAAGTCGTAGGGTCGAAGGGTCGTAGGTCGAAGGGTTTTTAGTACATTCCAATCGGTAGATATTAAAATTTATACAGTTTCAGAATTTCCACCGATTTAAGCATTTTGGTGACAATTTAAGGGTTTCAAAGGCAAAAATAATAAAGACAACATATTTTAGATCTAAGAAGGCATCGTGTCACCATACTTTAAAGAATTCTCTAAGTTACAGTGAATTCTTGCTGGGCAGCCATTTTTAATTTTCTGGGGCACTAATCAGAAAAACAATACTATAATTGTGATCTACCTCATATTTCCTTCAATTTGAGTACAATATAGCCATACACAGCCAATATAATTCGACACCGTTTCGGCATCGAACAAATTCGGCACCGTTCCGGCACCGTTTCGACACCGTTCCGGCACCAAAACCTTTCGACACCAAAATTTGCTACCAGACTAGTCAGTCCATTTGGTGCCGAAACGTCACCGAAATTTGGCACCGAAACGGTGTCGAAAATCAGATTGCATTTTGGGGGTGTACTTTGAAGAGATCAGAAAATTATTGCGAAATCCTACATAAGGTGGCCATTTTGAATTTTACTGGGCCCAAATCAGAAAAATGATACTATATTTGCATTCTACTCTAAATTACCTTTCATTTGAGTACATGTACAATAAAGCTATAGTTCAGAAAGACAAAACAATACCATATTTGTGATCTACCCTAAATTTCCTTCAATTTGAGTATAGTATAGCCATTAGCTATTATACATACTTTGAAAAGATCAGAAAATTATTGCAAAATCCAACATAAGGTGGCCATTTTGAATTTTACGAGGCTCAATGTAGATAAAAGTTATATTTTTCAGAATTATAGGATATATGTTATACCATACAAGCTTCAGCTTACTGTGGCTAAACCATGATTCCCACTTGAAGAGGTAATGATTCCTTTCTCAATTCCTGGCTGTGACTTCAATATTGAGAGCTTATTGAACGCTCCTCTAGCCTTGAATGAACCTGTCACCTGTTGGGTTTCTGAAAAATGTAATGCCTATACTTAGTTTGATTCGTGTCTGAAAGGGGTTTCAATTCATATTTTGGGAGGGGGGCTTTGTACTCTTTGTTGATTTAAGTTCACTTATTTTGACCAATCAAATGAATTCACAGCTCAGATCATATTTGATTTCAATTGGACTGGTAATAAAAAAAATGTTAATATGCAGTTGAATAAAGTTCTTTCCTTCATGCTTGACCTTACCTAGTTTGAGATAGACATTAGCCTTTATAAAGTCACTGAGGTAGGAGGAGTGCTCCAGGGGTGTCTTGTATGTGTAGTCTTTTATTCGATCAGCTGCTGCAGTTATTTTATGGTTGAATGCTTCTAGGTCTATGGCAGCCATCTTGGTAAGCTAGTTATTATTAATATAAATCACATTTTGCATCAATACATGTATTCAAATCTTAGTGGCTTTAACAGCAGCACTAAGCACATTCAAATCAAATTCTCTACATTGGCTTTATAGATTCAGATAATTATCAACAAGACACAGACACTAGTAATAGAGAAATCAAAATGGTGGTTTTGATGGAAATTTACGAAGTAGTGTTTGAAATCTCCCAATGATTTCCGCATGAGAGCTACGAAAGTTCAGCCTTTTTAAAGGTCATTCAAAAATCCCTTGATGCTACTTCATGAATTTACATCTCACTAGAAAATATGTACTCAGGGATAAAGACAACTCAGAATCAGCTGATAACTTACAGACTTTCGCAAACAGAGTATGAAGATGTAAGTAGGAAACACAGCTGAGCTGAATTGAGTATTTCAATTCCACCCATTACGATTTTTAGAGGCGCATTGTTGACGGCAAAAGAATTTTATATGACAGCAGTACATCCTTGAAAAAGGTAAACTCTACAGAGCTAGAGTCCATTTCACTGTTTAACTGCATCAGTAAGAGCTAAAAAATAAGAAATCAAAATATCATTTTGCAATACTATATTCCTATTGTACATGAATGACATTTGTATATCTTGGATTGCTTCTAGTTTGGCTTATAAAGTGTGTGGCCTCTTATATTTGGATGCTTCTCTGCCATGTTATTTTCAATAAGATTAAAGGCTGAGAGCGGGTATAAAAGGCAGATGGAACAGCCCACAACAGCCAAATATGGCAGTTTAAATGTCCAGTTCAAACAAAATGAGAACATTTTCAAACGTTCTACTATAACAAGACTGGCCACATTAGCACTGATTGGCTGAACAGTGACAGCTTGATTAATAGCTTCACCCGGGTCCAAATCTCTGGGCCTTTAACATGGCTGAAATTCTTCAAATTACAAGACGGCACAGGCTTATTGCACAAAAAACTAAAAAATCTGAAATATACAAATGTCATTCATGTGCATTGTGAATATACTTTTCCATATATTATTGCACAATGGTCTCCCAATTTCTTATTTTTGCCGTTCTACTGACGCAATGAAGCAGTGAAATTGACTCTAAGTTCCACGGACATCTAATACGTTCTTCGAACTGCCCTGGAACTATATCTATACCAGGACTGGCATCCAGATCCAAGTATTTTTAAGACCGCCGACTCTCGTTGGGCTATTTATCCCTATTGACTCAGTTGTTCATATAAATTTACGTACCTTAGATGCTTTGTAATCGACGTAGATAGAAAATATTGTTTCCTAAATTGTTCTGAAAAGCGATAATTATTACTAAATGTACTTTGAACAGGTCGACTGACCAAAAAGTCGGACTTCTGGCACAAGGTCACGTGACCAAATAGAATTTGTATAGATAAAATTGATGACGTCACCGCCATCGGTGTAGGTCAGGTCAAAAGTCATCCATCTTGCCATTTGCCCAGCGTATTCTTACCAGTCGACAAAAAACGATGAAATCACGTTGAAAATAAAATATACACTTTAAAATTGAGGCTGATTGAATATGACAAGACTCCATTGAATACAGCTGTGCAATTTACAGTCACCAAGATGAGCTAATTTCGGAGAGATTCGGTGAGATTCGGGAATTAAAAAAGGTAAGCCCTTCCGGTTTCCCAACTTCAAGTATTTGAAATCCCAGAATTTTCCCAGAAACATTCTCTCTGACTGTGCTAAGTTCGGTTTGTTCAGTGACATACCTATACATGTACATGTAAAGGGGGGGGGGCACAGTTAGCACTATCTCATAAAATAGTATCTAAATATAATAGAGAGAAGTCTCTCTATTGTATTACCAACTAATTATAGATCATTGATAACTGTGCCCCCCCCCCCCCCCCCACTGTAACAGAAGTCACAAAAATTGCCAAGTCAGTGTGGGAATACAATCATTTTCTCTCTAAAAGGAAAATGTCAGGTTTTTAGTGTGCCTTAAGCGCATGAAGTAAGTACCACAGGAGCTTCGCAAAGTAGTCTAACTAAGTAAAAAACGGGTAACTTTATAAGTTATCAAAACTTACCAAATTATTCTGTAAAAGAACACATGGTCAATAAGTTTCGCTGTAGCGATATAGAGTTTAATATGCTGGAATTATCTCATTGGAATTAATGTTGCATCGATCGTTGGTATCGCAACTAATGTTATAGATATATTATAAATGTTTAAAATGATAATTGTATAATTGAAAATATCATTATTTCCCAAACAATCAAAAGTATTAAAGTTGATTATTTTAATCAGAAAGTGACAGGTCCCCAAATGAGATCACGTGATTTTAAAAATGGAGATGGCCGGCCACGCCCCCAATATAGCTGCGATTTTGCACGGGAAGGATGATCTTAGATTGGTAATTTCTCATGTTAATATTTGATGTCATGAATAATTAATATAATATATAATTGAGGATACTCCATAATACATTATACATAACAGATCCACATTTTTCATGCATGCAAATAGTAGATTTTGACCGCTGAAAACATTGAATTTTATTCAAATTTTTATGTACTTGTACTGCAATTGAAGTGTGTTCCCGGCAGTCAGTGTTATCAATGTTACAATTTCCCGTATCTGAATTGGTTATATTTTTCTCTGAAGTCTCAAGCTTATTGGTTAGAACGTATTAATCTTGTTATAATAATTCCAGTTACAATAAAATGTGTTGTTTGTTTTTGTTGGTTGCTTGTTTTGTTTGTTTGTTTGATTGATTGATTTGCAACATTGTGCATCCTGGCATCATGATCAACAAATGAGTCGACGCAACTTTTATGAAGAGATATGTGTTACAAATACTGACAATGGATATTTTTAACACGGGTTGACCTTATTGCCATTTTTACCATCTTAAATTAAATATATTTGTCTTGACATACATGTGATGATATAATGGTGTATTGTAGGAACCATACACAACAGTGGCACCAGGTGACAATGGTAAGGTACAGTCAATACCATAGAGTAAGAAATGTTATTCAAATAACAAATTCTATCTTATAATAATTAGTTTTACCACTTGGATACTTAAATTTCCATAAACCAGAAATCAGACTTACTAGTCTTAAAGATTTTTCATTTCCTCTAATGTGCATGCATGTTATGACTAATCATCTATCTTTCAACAGAGGTTCTTCTTGAGATGGGATCAGTTGGTATCTGTGGTTCAGACCTTAAGTATTGGAAATATGGCAAGTGTGGCAGATTTACAGTCACAGATCCTATGGTCATTGGACACGAGGGGAGTGGAGTTGTTGCGAAGATTGGAACGGGAGTAACAACATTGAAACCTGGTACTGATAAAAAATCAAATTGTGCCAAAAATCTTAATCAAAGTAGTAATTTTAATCATTATTTTTTTTAACACATTATTGTCTTTTTTAACTTGACCTTGACCTGACTGACTGGACCTAGCTTGACACAATATGGTCCAGATTAACTGACTACCATCCTGTCTTGACCTGACATATCTTGTCTTGGTTTGATCTACTAAGGATTGACTTGACAAATTATTACTCATTCAGATAAAATCTGTGTTATATGATGTCCCTAAAAACTGTTTTAATCATGCAGGAGACAGGGTAGCAATCGAACCAGGTGTACCCTGCCGTGTATGTAAACTGTGCAAAACAGGACGCTACAATATATGTCCTGATGTTAAATTCTGTGCCACTCCTCCAGTACATGGGAATCTTTGCAAATATTACACTCATCCAGCAGACTTTTGCTTCAAGTAAGTAGGTCTTGTATTGTATTGAGAGATCATTTCAAGCTACATGATTATGATAAAAACAGAAATTCAATTGGCACAGATTAAACACATTTATCTAAAAACAAGCAAAAAAATAGGGATCACCAAAGGGTGATCTTATTTCCATGTTATGTTGTTGCTGAACATTAAGTGAATCATGAATTCATCAAGTTCAATTTCCGCCAATCAATATTCATTAGGTTGCCTGAGAATGTTAGCTTGGATGCAGGAGCCTTGGTGGAGCCATTGGCCGTAGCAGTGTATGGGTGTGAGCGTGGAGGGGTGAAGGTGGGGACCAATGTATTGATCTGTGGAGCTGGGCCTGTGGGATTACTGTGCATAATGGTAGCCAGAGCAATGGGAGCTAGTACCATAGCTATTACAGGTGAGGTGCTATGTTAGAGGAGGATTCTTTACATTCAGAGGTCCATGCATTAATTATTATAGCCTTTGTATATATTATACAGCCTTTACTGAGCCAAATTATGACACTTGTATGGGCCTTCTTAAGACTGCCACAGGCCCAGGAATAAGATTTAAATCCCCCCTCACTATAGGAAAGTGAGTGGAAGGGGGATGAACTCTTGTTCCCATGTCTGTGGTGACTGTCATTCAAATCCCAACCAGAAAAAATCCCTTCTATTCTCACAATCTAGGCATTCTTCCCTAATAGGTATTAAACATGTACTGAATTTATTGTGTGCTCCAGATATTGATGACCACCGTCTCCAGACTGCAAAAGATCTTGGCGCTGATCATGTGATCAAAGTATTGACCAATGACTGTGAAGCAATGGCAGATGAGATTGTCAAGGCGATGGGTGAATGCCCGGATGTAGCTCTTGAATGCAGTGGTGCTGACAGTAGTGTAGTAACTGGCATACATGTAGGTTGGAATTGGACATATAATAAGTTTGAATGAGTAACTCATAACACATTTACCAGCTAGATGTTCTTTTTTTTCTTGAATCAAAATGTAAATGCATGTTTATCTACAAAGATTTAGTCTTCTTAATTTCAGTGTATAAAGCACATGTTCATGTACCTATGAGAGTCCAAGATATGTAAATATATGTAGCCATTGCATTTGCAATATAGATCAATAAAATCTACATTTCTTGAAGGGAATCCATGCAAAACAATCAGTATGAGGAATATAAGGGTCCCTGGTTTTTAGCAATTTATATTTTCATAATGATATGATTTCTTTGTGGGTAGAATATATTTGGATATTTAGCCTCCTGTTCCAGGCCTGTCAACCTGGAGGAAGTGTTGTCCTGATTGGCCGAGGCTCAATGATGCCCCAGCTCCCTCTAGTGGCAGCAGCCAGCAAGGAGGTTGATATCAAGGGAGTTTTCAGATATGCTAATTGGTAAGTGAACTATGTTCAATATGCTATATGAAAGTTGTTAGTCATTTTGACCTCTCAGTTCCATGTAAGGTAGGCCAAAAGGAGGAATTTTACTAAGCTGTTTTAGCCTTTTACATGTAGGGTTGATATTTCCATCTGGTCCAAAGCTTATTTTACTATTCCCACTTTAAATGCCCAGTAAAACTTAAAGGACAACTGAAATAGCTTTTCTCAACTTGCAGCTACAAAAATGCGGTTTTCTCCATTGTAAGCCCAACGTAGAGTTCTTGCGATAGCCATTATAAAATAAATGTTAGATAACTGCTAACGGTCATAGATAACGAAATAAAACAAACCGATAAATCAAATTGGCCCCCACGTGATTAGTAACGTCATATACAAAATCTAGTTTTGGTTTATTGGTTCCATAGTAATCACAACGCCACGGCAACCATAGGATTGTTGTGTAAACAAATAACAAAACATTTTGGCATTATGACGTCACGATCTAATGGACCAAAATGGGCCACGTGGGGGCCAGTGAGAGATCACGTGGGGGCCAATAACGTCACAACCAATTCGAATATTGCTTATTAAGCAGCTATAACGATCGTTAGAGTGAAATAGTTTTCACACTACTGATGAGAAAACATGTCCAAATACATCTATCAAAAAATTATATTGATTCCTTTAGGTTAAAAATACCATTTCATATCTGCTTTAACAATTACATTTGGGTCATTTGGAATGATGAACCCAAAACTTGAAAAATAACTTGAATGTCTCTCTGTTACTTCCTCCATTCACTCCAATTGTGTTAAAATTATTTCAGCTACCCAAAGGCTATAGACCTGCTGAGGAATGGTAGCATTAACGTGGACAAGTTGATCACCCACCACTTTAATCTAAAAGATAGCACCATGGCTTTTAAGACTGCTATGGATAGAGATGCCAAAGCAATCAAAGTTATGATACACTGTGACAAGTAAATCCACATTAAGTGATACTGTAATGATACAATGTGACCAACGAATCCACATCACCTTATATGTGTTGGTGAAATACAGGGGCCAAATGATGATATAATATGTGATATTATTTTATTTATGATATTCCATGAGACAGGCCTACTCATATAGGTGATATCTGGAATTCAAGATGTCATATAACATGGGCTATATTCATCCTGCTGAAGACACTGTTAATGAAAATATTGATGTACATATTAATAACTGTTGTTGAAACTAATCAATTCATCGGAATGATCATCACTAAAATTATGACAAGATTATATCCATATATCAGTGTGTGAAAGGAACATAAATTCATGTTTGAGTTGTAAAAAGTAAAAAAATTTGTACAACTCTCGCATTTCTTTTTGGACAAGTGAAAGTTTGAACATATTTTGTTTTTCTACTATGTTGTTCCTTGGTGTTCTTTTAGAAGCAAAACATGATGTACAGTATAGCAAATGCTTACTCCAGAAAACTGCCGCTATATTTAACTTTAAGCCATTGCCTATGATTCCAAAGACTTCATCATTCCAGTAAGTAAATAGACACTAGGACATTGTAGGAGTCTCTACAGTGACTGGGAATCCCCTTTAAATGAAATTGTACATTTAATGTGTATGAGCCTAAGTTCTATAAAGATCAATAGCCCTCATTGAGAGCAGCTACAGGGAGTCTATGTTATAAAAACATATATTCTACATATTATCGTATTGTATCATGTATAAGATGCATCATGTATTGTGTATAAGTGTTTTTCTACATTACCAACAACAATTCATATTTTGTTAATTTTTTAAATCAGTGTTCAAGTGGAAATATCCACCCACAGTGCAATAAATATGTTTGAAAGTTAAACAAGCTTGTATTGGTTGTTTGAGTATGTGTATTGTCTAACAATACTATAACTGTACTTGTAAGTCTAGTGACCTATATTTTAATAAAAAAATAGTTCCCTTCTCTTGACCTTTTTTCTCTCATTCCAGATTCATCCACTGCCACCTTGAAAAATGCTAAAAAAAACTCTCACACAAACTAATAATAAAAACATTTGTCCAGTCCACATTGTATTTATTTATTTTTTAGCTAATATCAAAGATATGATATTGACAATGAATATTAACTCCACATGATACAATGATGAATTTCATAATTTAAGGCATCAGAGAATGACAATACAATAAATAGAAAATTGGAAATGAATATGTTTCAAAGCAGATGCAATAATTGGAAAAAGAACAGAATTTTCTGTCTCAGTGCAACCAATTTCTAGTTTTACAGTACTTGCACTATAAACATTTTCAAATTGAAGACATTCAAAATAAAAATACAAGTGTTTACAATAATTCACAAACACTATATATAATGATAATAATAATAAATTAATAATAATGCATGAAAATATATATTGATCAGATCTTGTTACAACAAACTTGGTGTTACCATGGCTATATATTTTCCATGATTGATTTTCATTGGTATTCCCCTTCAAATACTTGTAAGCCATTAGAGGTCCTTTAAAAACTTTACACTAAATTCTACATATAAACTATTTCAATGATTGCTTGACTACCCACCCACTCAAATTTGTTAATAAAACATGTTTTGGACGTGTAACTTTTCATTGGAGAATGGCACCCTAGAAAAATGATTTTTACTCATCAGTTTACAAAACTGCTCCAAAATGAAACGTATGCCACTATTTCAACCTTAAAACATACTGTTGGTATAAAACTTAAAAGTGAAAATTTCATAATGCCATCACAGAATCCCTTTTAAAAGCACTTAAAGTGTTTTTCGAGTTTCTATATTAGCTATAATAGAGTGTCGTCAAGGAGGTAAATAAATATATCAATCATGGTAAGAGATTTCTGATGACATGTATAGTGTACTTTACAATAAGGTAAATACATATATAAAAAGTGTACATTCACTCAAAATGTACTTGATGTAATGTGTGTGTATAAGTAAGTACAATGATAAATATCAATATTACATATATATCTTTCTTAGAAATAGTCAACCATTAAATTATTCTACACCTAATATGTCTAACAACATTATATGTGTTGCACATTTATGTTTCTGTCTAGAAAACTCAACAATGAGAAAACACTGTACATAATAACATCTCAATGTACATGTATATAGTACTATCTACATCACAAAATTAGCCCTCTAAAATGCAAGTACTATTCAGATCCCATCATTCTGGCAGTTTGCTTGCAGTGTCATCAGCTCAATGAAGGGAGATCTCATTTTCTACTATGTGTAGCCCATCACTTAAAGGGGCAACAAGGCCTGTAGAGAGAAATTTTGAAAATTTTTCTTTTTCTGAGCTATCAGGGCAACATTTGGCTTAACATCTTCTTTGACATACCTATTTTCTTAAAATGTATGGATAAACTATCAATTTCAGCATTAAGAAGTGTAAATTCAGTTCAAAGCTTCTATAAAGGGAGTCCCGCTTATAGATTTTTAAGATCCATCACGTTTCAAGAGGAATATTAGCTGAAATAATGTTCATCCAGGGGGTTTCTTTGAAGATAATAAAAATATATGATAGTCTTGATGAAATATCCAAAATTAAATATACTTTGACACTGGTCCATGATGGTTGAATGGCCCCTCTGCACTAATTGTTGCACCTTTAAGGTCACGTATTGGCTCAGTGAGGGACCTTGCTTTGTAATACAATACTTAGCTCTCTTACTGACTCAATGAGGGACCTTGCTTTGTTATACAAGTAGACCCTAACTAAGCTGTGATGATGCAAGCAAACTGACAGTAACAATGTGATGGGGTCTTAATGGTAGCCATGTAAAAATGTTAATAGGTGTCTCCCATTCATAAAGTTCATATTATTTCTTAAACATAAATGATAATGGTCTGGTTGTTAATGTAAGGTTCAAACTTTCATAAATAAAGAACATGTAATACCAAGAATAAGCCTGTGGTAGTAAATTCACTGTCATAAGAGATCCATACATTTAGCATCTTCGCACGCTCCGGTCTTCACTGTGTCCGACGGGAGCTGAGTGAACGAAGATGTACATTTAGTGTATTCTTATCCAATTATCGATAGAAGTATGGAAAAATGGGAGTCACCTCTCGCAATAGAGACAATGGCTTTGAATACCCCTAAAAACTCAGATCTTTTTTTGTATAAGATCACATGTGGACATTATACCATGTGCAATAAATGGAAAAAAGAAAACATAAACGAAAACAGCATGTGAGGTAATTTGTCACAACAGGTAAAGATGTAAAGCTAAAACCAGCAATGTTAATGCGTGTTCTTTATACATTGGTAAAGCTAATGCTAATTTTGAATAACTTAAAATTAATTTTCTATCTGAGATGTTAATGAGCAAGTGGCAAATCTCTGATCTCTGAGAATGTAATAATAAGGGAATATTTACAGTGATTTACTGTAGTTTATTAAGGGATGCACCATTTGATATTTGGGGGAACTCAACCTCAATACCCTTGACCAGATTTATTTCCTCATACCTTTACCCTGAGTATTTTTGTTTTAATTCTGTAACTAGAAAAAGATTCAATCTAACCATTTCTAGGTATAGCTAAAACAACACACAGGATGTTTTTAAAACCTAACTCTTAATTTATACAGTTTTCAGACCCAGGACATTTTTCTGAAAATTTTACGTTCCCTCCAATGATCTCATGGTTGTCCCCTAAGGCACATTTTAGTTCTAGCAATACAGTTTTCGCTTTGTGTAATGCTAACAGTATCAACCGTGGGGTGATATGTACTCAGTATGGTGGTGCTTTATTAACATTTTATCGCAAAATTCTGAGGAAATCTTGCATCATGTATAATACATACATTTCAGATCTATAGAGCAATGTCAAGTAAATTTCACTTCAGTCAATTTGGTTGTTTCGGTATGTTTAAGAAAAAAGAGTTTTGACATCTGAAATCCTGAAATTGTTACAAATTGGATAAATGTACATTTGAATGTTTTATATTTTTGCAAAAATATACAGATCAGAAATATACTCATCAAATTAATTTTTTTCTGATTAGCATTACACAAAGAATGTAAATTGCACATTTGCGCAATGATCTACAAGCATTTAACTAAGCTAAATTTAAGCATCATAGTATATGTATATTCTTTAATCATGATCATTTTAGTTACTATAGTAATAATTATGCGCTGTCATGACTACAGCCAAGTATGAACATACTTTAGCAAAATAATCCCAGCTATGGCAAAGAGCAACAAAATAACTAGTATAAGGTTTGACTGAGGGAAACCAAGGATGAGATACATCCTTTCCCTGTCATTTCTGGAAGGTTAGAAACAGCTAAGTACATGTACATGTAGGCCTAGTCATAGACTTGCTTAATAATCACATTTTTGGCATACTAATTGCACGAGTCAGGCTTGACTAAATTGTAAAGCAATCACAGGAAATAAAAATGCCAACTGTGCATAGAAAAATAACATACCGATACCCTTGAGATAATGGATAAAGTTAAATATTATACTCAGTCTTCTACCATTATGTCAATGCTCCTAGTTAGTGTTCTACCATTATGTCACTTCTCGGAATCAATCCTCTACCGTAATGTCACTTCTACGAACAGGTGCCAAGTGCCTTTCTGCTGAAAGAGTACATGCTACCAATCTGAACTTCTTCAGAATCAATGATTTATTACCACCATAAATAAATGGTACCATTTTATTTCAACTCTAAGTGAGTAGTCCAAATCAGTTTCAATTCTGAGTGAATGGTACCAACATGTCCTGCTCCGAGTAAAGCCATGGCACTGTGAGAAGATCCAACATGGTAGTTGTTCTGTCATATACCATACCTGTCAACTTGGACACCTCCAATACAGACATTTCCAAACCTTTCAATATTTTCTAGCGTAACATGGATGGAGATCCTCGTTTGTCGAAATAAAGTAGTTGACAGGTATGGTGTGATAGTTGTCTCATATTTAATACAACAACATCGCCAAACCACAACATATAATCCTGATTGTTGCTATAGTAGCCCCTAGCCAATCAAATGCCTGCATTCCTCCTACATATTAGTCACTATATCTGTTTGAGTATCAAGAATATCGTGACCTTGAGGGGTCATGCATGATTGGATCTCTCTGTGCAACTGGGCTAGGTTCGGGTGAATGGTCCCCATATTCCCTCTGAGATTGCCTAGAGAGAGAACTTTCCCGCGACACAGATGCACCATCACGCTTCTTTCGCTTAAACAGTTTCTTGAGGCTATTACTAAATGAGTTGGAGCGTTGCTTCTTCAGATTCTGCTCAGGCACTTGCAAGTGATCTATGTCATCTGAAACACAAACGAAAATAATAAATATATAAATATCAAAACAGGAAAAACACAGGCAAAAACACAGGTAACATTAACACATGTAACATTAATATAAAGGTAAAAATCAACACAGGTGAAATTAATAAAAAGGTAAACATCAACACAGGTGAACATTAACACAGAAGTGAACATCGACACATGTGGAAATAATTAAAACATGGATAAACATCAATACAGGTGTAAATTAAGCAAGCCATTGAAGAGAAATAAACAGGTAAATGTCAACTTAGGTGAACATTAGCCTAATAGAGATGTAAATATCAAAATGGGTGTAAAGTAATTAAAAAACACAGTTATAAAGACAAATATACAGGGTGTCCAAGAAGTAACGTCAATGACCCTGGCATTTTGTCATTTATGCTTCAAATGTCATGAAACTTAGTCAGAATGTTCCTTGTACATTTATAAATATAAATATGAAGTATGGAGTTACTAGCATTTGGCCGGCCGGTTTTATGGTTACCATAGTAACACAAGTGCATGGACCCCGGGGCAGCTCTGCAATCTGTAAGATCTTTACACTAGCTTTGAAGTGTACATCTTTTATTTATAATATGACCACAAATATAATGTTTTCAACTACACATCATGTATTCATAATATAGCTGTTGCTGGCGTTATATCAGTGTTATATTAAATTTTATCGAATGTTACTCTACATAATCACCACCAAGTTCCACACATCTCTGGTGTCTTCTTACCCGCTCCAAGAAAACTCTATTGAAACCACCAGAGCTCATTTCTGCAAGGGATGACAGAACAGAGCTCTTAAGTTCCTCATTTGAAGAGAAAGACTGTCCAGCAAGTTTAGCCTTCAGTGCCCCATAAAGATAGAAGTCACTAGGGGCCAAATCAGGCGAATATGGAGCTTGTTCAAGTATGGGGTATTCCTAGTATCTCAATTACTTCCATGGTGTTCCTGGCCTTGTGAACGGGGGCATTGTCCCAGTGCAGTGAAAGGCACAATCCAGACAGAAAACATATTATGATGTCATAAAGTACTCCAAAGAAGTGTTACCATGGTAACTCCCAATAAACAATAAAACCGTTAAGATTTGAAAAAGTCCCAAGACATTGCATTTCATTTTTGCCAAAGGTTTTACCTTATAATAACCTGATTTACATAATATTTACCAGGTACATTCTGAACTGCCCCGGGGTCCATGCACTTGTGTTACTATGGCAACCATGAAATTGGCCAATCAAATGCCAGTCACTCCATACTTCGTATTTATATGTATAAATGTACAAGGAACATTTTGACCAAGTTTCATGACATTTGAAGCATAAATGACAAAATGCCAGGGTCATTGACGTTACTTCTTGGACACCCTGTAGGCTAACATCGATTAAGGTGAACATCGATAGAGATGAACAATACAATAACACAGGGGTAAATATGAACACATGTTACATTAATAAACAGGTGAACATCAACACTTAGATGAGAATAACACTGATCATTAACACTTAATTGATAATAAACACACTAAAAGACACACTGAATACAAGAACTGCAAAATTATTTTGATTGGATCTCAATTAGATTCCAATAGGACTTGAAAAGACCAATACTATTTGAATTAGCAATTCATTATGAAGCAATAATGCACTGCTATTTTTTAAGATTTCACATGTCTAAATAAGTCATAATTAGCTCAAACCCTTACAGATTAATACCTAAGATGGCAATAATGAATGTAGTACAACCGAAAATGAACTGTGTAATTAATTGGGCTTAGTACAGCAGAGTGTAGTCTTGCGATGCAGTAAGGTGCAGTACAGCATAGTTCAGCTCAGTACAGTACAGTACAGTACAGTACAATACCGTATAGTACAGTTCAGTAAAGTACAGTATAGTAAAGTATATTATGTGTACAGTATAACACAGTAGTACCATACCTTATAGCGCAGTATAGTGCGGTATAGCATAGACTATTGGGGATATGGTATGGATTATGGTGCAAATGTTATTACAATGTCATATCAAAATGTGTGACTACAAGAATAAGGGCCACAACTTACCATGACTTGATTGGGGTAACTAAAAGAAAGCAAGCAGAAAACAAATAAAGCAACATGCACAAATAGCCATCTATGTCATTCAGTAACCCTACTTCAAGTAACTCTGGCTGTTATCATTTCAAGTAAAAATAATTAAATAAATCAAAATGATTGAGAAAATGAGAATTAATGTTGAAATTTAGCTAAAATTCAATCCTTCAAGATGACTTATTCTCTCCAACAGAGGGGAGCTATGAGGGGGGGTAATAGATTTTAAAAATTCAACTGAGCTGAGAATTGTTCAATTTTAAACTACAAAATGAATAAAAACCATTGTCATTAAAGCTTGGTCACTGAACAGATACCACTTTACATACAAGTAGATTTTTCATGCACCATTTTAATGATTTAATATAGAATGTGCCACATATCATACTGTAAACACATCATTGAATGACAAGCATACACAAAGACAGCATTGTTATGCCGTAGCATAGGGAACATACATTCACAATACTAAAGGAACTCTAAAGACTAGATAAGAAATTAATGTCTTCAATCTAATATTCGCTTGATTTAAGACAATATCTAAATGGGTAGTCTCATGAGATAAAAAGCTTCCCAAATAAGAACCTGTTGTAAAGAAACAAGAAAGTATAAGCTTTGTTAGAATCTGAACACAAATTCTCGGTAGAAGTTCATGTGGTGAAAATAACGAAATAATGAAATGTTACCGTGTGTCTACTTAGCAGTTTGTTCTATGTCATCCATCCTGCTAGGTTACATTGTGGAACGCAGCCAAACACGACAATGAAGGCAACAACATGTCGATGTTGATCTTAGCAGAATTTGGGGAAATTTAGATCGTCCATTTTGCAAGCTCACGTGAGTGACATGTGACGCATGTCTGATCACGTGACTAGTTACTGTATCGATCATGTGACTTAATGACGTGTCAATGACGTGTCACCCAACCATGTCTTCAAGGAAAACGGAAGTAAATATTTTGGAAAATGTTTTCCGAGCATTTGCTAGTGATTATAGAAGACCCAATTACGCAACGAACGAAACTGCTAAATTGTATTTCGTGCCTAACAGGCCCAGTACGCAATGAAAGAAACTGCAAAAGATTGTATTTTTAGTCTGCTTATTGATCTATTGATCCATAAAGACCTGAAATGATGCATTCAAATAAGACCGCCTCCTAAATGAAAACACCACACATAAAGTGATGAAAAACAACGAACTAAAGTTGAAAGATCTCAACGTTCGCTACTTTGTTCAATTCCGGAAGTATCCAGAAGAAGAAGAAATGGGAAATTTTTACGATTTAGATTTTATAACCTCAGAATACTGCCTTCATTGTCGTGTTTGGCTGAGTTCAACAATGTAATCTTGCAGGAGGGATGACATAGAACAAACTGCTAAGTAGACACACGGTAACATTTCATTATTTCGTAATTTTCACCATATGAACTTCTACCGAGAATTTGTGTTCAGATTCTAGAGATCTTTCCCTAAAAAAACTGAAAGACACCTTGATTAAGTAATATGAGACACAAAAACACCCTTTAGGAAAGAAGTGATTAAGCAATACTACCATCAGGGTACATGAACTGATTGAAGCGTACACTAGCGAGAAACCAGCAGCATGAACTAGCTACTGTTCATACATGAACAATATAGGTACCACATTAACTTTATTGCTCAAAAAACATTTTAGGCATGATTCATACAGTATCAATTCATCAATACTAGTTCAACTTGAATTTTTATACCAGTATTGCAAAAGGATCCAGTATCCAAATTTCCAAACTTTGGCTGTAATATCTGTATGATGGTTTTGAACAGTTTGACAGTGGTATGGGTTTTTGGAATTTTACTGATGCACGCCTCAAACAGTTCATATACCCTGACCATATGACAGTTTTACTCTAGTTGTGCTATAAGGAGCTATAGTTACAACATACCCATAGTAGAATTATCAAATTCTGAATTTGTTGACATGTCCATCAAGGATGCATTATTGTTTTCTGAAAACCATAACAACCATAACCCTTTAACATGCATAATGACCTCTAGGTTACCTCTCATCTTTCCTATGGACTTGCATTTAGAACAGCTACATCTGCAGGATTACAATGGTTTAATGGGAAATACAACATGCAATTTGATGATAGTCACATGGGGTCAACTACAGAGACTCATCATCCCCAATTTTCTAACATTCAATAGTAAATAAGGAAGTAAGAGTTTAAATACAGCACATAATTGACCCCAAATGCCAGTTGGAATATATGATGAAGCAAACATGATCAGATCACTACAACTACAAGGTCATTCTACTAGGTCAAGGTCATTCTGCTAGGTCAAGGTCATTCCACAATAACAAGGTCAATCACCTGGAGTGTGAGCCACACCATTGGGGCCTAAAGCAGAAACGTCCACGCTTAGTACTATTATATGTAGTTCTTAGAACACAAGGGGATGTTTCATGAATGTGTCATAGATCACCCTTCCTGATTTCCACTTGTCGTTTACAATGTAACTATGAATGGAGAGGTGTGGCATAATGTTATTCACTTCACATATGTTTCAAGAATTGCTCAAAAGCTTGAATCAATACATCATTTTATTCTCTAGATCAAAATTGTTCAGACATTGTGGAAACCTCTCTCATATTTCTAAAACACTTTGTGATTATAATTCACAATTTTCAAGAATCATGCCCAAGGTTAAGAATACAATGCATATATGGATTGTAAAGAGAGCGGGTCAAAATAACTCAAACATCAAATTGGAGTTTGCAATACAATACTAATGAAAATATGGACAAACAATATTCAAAAATGATGTAGTTTAGGAGAATACTTGCATTTTGACATATGAAAGGCGATATATTCATTTATCAGTATTTCACAAACTTTATTTAATTGTACTTTGTGACATTATGAACATATCATCTTTATAACAACAAATTCAAATCTCAAACAAAATACAGCTGGGCAATGTGTGGTTGCTGAAAACATGCTAAAATGATGCATTTACTTGATTTTTCCAAGCAATGCCACTCAACCTTGAATATGCTCAAAATATGAGGCATGCCAGGGATCCTACAGATTTTTGTAATTTCCATTTTTCCCCTCACCAGGATGTATAGTATAACAGTGATTTAAAAATATTATACCATAATACCCAGGACACGTAAACACTATGTATGTGTTATACATAATCATTATTGCTTGCCATCCCAAATTCCCTGACTCATTCCAAATTTTGCCGACCATGTCATTCCTAAATGCCCCAACTTTTTTTGAAATTTTGGAGCATTTGTGATATTTTCTGACTGTAAAAACCCTGCATTCAATAACTACTGTAACAATTCAAGTCAAAAAACTCATAACAGCAAAAATTGTTTTATGCAATAAACATTAACAATTCGGAAACAGAAACTCAACATTTATAAAACAGATGGTACTTACCTGTGGTTTTTGGGCCAGTGACCTTCATGGTTGGCGGGCTGAGGGTTCCTTCGCGCATACTTGATGCACGATCTGCACTGTGAGAGCGAGGCTTACGCAGGCGACTAAAGCGCTTCTTTAACGTGTTTTTCAAAGATTTGTTCTTCTTATCTATAAAAGAGTGAAGTAGTTAAATTATTTGAACTCCACAAATTACTATACACATTCCAAGAATCAACCAGACCTGATGATATCATGAGCATGCTAGGCGGTATCCTGGCTAAGGCACCATGTATCACATAATAGCAACATAAAAGTTTTGAGGTTTATCTCAGTCATTATCTCAGTCATTGTGATTTATTGTACAATGTGTCTTGCTTTATGTTGTGTTGTACTAAACATTGTGATGGAATACTAGTAGTGGGATGTTTAAAACATAACCTGCTTTTTGGATGTCATTTATATTTTCTATGCTAATTTTCTTACAACAACTTTCAAATAAATATTGGAAACAACACTAAACTGAAAACATAAAGAGTTTTGTCCCAACAACATATTGTAATAAGCTTGAACAGAAAATGCACTGTAAAAATGAGTGTCGATACTGAAAAAAGTAACCATTGTTACTAGAAACTGCTCAGCCAAATGACTCTTTAAACAGAAATAAACTTGAATAAAAAGAGCTAAAGTACTTGCAATGTGATGAACAGGCTACTGTAGTACTTGTACTTGTCATGTAATACACATCCTAATGTATTCAGAATATGAAACAAGTGATAATGTACTTGTAATGTGATAATAAAAAGCACTACTCCTCGAATCCCTGAACACATTTAATGTGATTCACATGCTGATATACTTAAAATAGGAAGCAAATGGTATTCTACAGGGTGTCAAATAAGTCTGTTCTCCCCCTTAACTTTTTTAATTCAGAGATAACATAGGGTTGGTATATATCATCTTAAAGGGAATTTAATTTGCTCATCACACACCAAATTTTAGAGTGATTGGTTAAATTCCAAATTTTTTAGAGTATTTTTAGTGATGTCCATATTTCACTTTTTAATAGTCTCCCCCAGCAGCCTGGAGGTTGTTTCATGTACTTGAAATGTAAAACTAGTACTAATACTAATAATATACTTGTAATGTGCATATGCTAACATAAATATGCTAATGCACTTCGTCTTGTAATGTGATGTGGGTATGCACTTGAATTGTGATATGCTAATGCACTGGTAATGTGATGCACTTGTAAAGTAGTGTGTTAATGTACTTGTAATGTGATATGCTTATGCACTTATAATATTATATACTATGAGGTTATATAATGGTTCATTCTATATATCGTGTTTATACTCGAGTGAGTATATAATATATTCACAAGTGAGCATAGCGAACGAGTGAATATATTATATTCTCACGAGAGTATAAAATGCACGATATACAGAATGAATCATTATATAATCTTATTATGCCACTCTAAGTTCAATTACAGTTGATTCAAACACAATCATAACAATTATAAAAACCATAAAAATATCTCATAGCCAACTCTCGATCCATTTATGACGTCACTTGATTCTAGCAGTTCATGTGGGAACCATTTATGACGTCACTTGATTCTAGGAAATCATGTGTAACAAAACATACACCTCGTTCTTCGGTCAATATTCATTAGTTCCCAGAATGCACTTCTACAGTGGTATACTATGAGGTTATATAATGGTCCTTTCTGTATATCGTTTTTATACTCGAGTGAGTATATGATATATTCACAAGTGAGCGCAGCGAACGAGTGAATATATTATATTCGCACGAGAGTATAAAATGCACGATATACAGAATGAACCATTATATAATCTTATTATGCCACTCTAAGTTTAATTACAGTTGATTCGAACACAATCATAACAATTAAAAAACCATAAAAATATCCCATAGCCAACTCAATAATGCTCTCGAACCATTTATGACGTCACTTGATTCTAGGAAATTATGAAAATTTTCATGATTTTTTTATTCATTAGTTCCCAGAATGCACTTCTACAGTGGTATACGCTGGAGTGTATACGGAGGAGTTGTATACGATGACGATATACCACTCTCCACTGTATATCGTTGTTATAGACCCATGTTATACAACTGTAATTGGACTTAGAGTGGTATAAGCTGGAGTATATACGGAGGAGTTGTATACGATGACGATATACCACTCTCCACTGTATATCGTTGTTATAGACCCATGTTATACAACTGTTATCGGACTTAGAGTGGTATAATAATGTATTTGTTATGAGATATCCTAATTCACTTAAACTGTCATATGCTAATATACTTGCAATGTTATATGCTAATGTACTTCTAATGTTTAATGCTAATGTATTTGTAATGTTAAATGCTAATGCGCTTATAATATCATATGCTAATATACCTGGAATGTTATGCACTTGAACTGTTATATGCTATTGCTAATGTTTTTGTAATGTTAAATGCTAATGTGCTTATAATGTCATATGCTACTGTACTTGTAATGTGATATGCTAATGCACTTACATGTACTATATGCTAATGTACTTGTAATGTGGAATGCTAATGCACTTTTAATATTATATGCTAATGTGCTTGTAATGCTACTTCTCTATATGTATGTATAAGTAATGGATCTAAGTATAAAGTGTTACATGCAGTAGGTCTACTTACTTTGCACAGTGGGAGTGACTCGTTCAGTACTAGTGGAACTCACTAAAAGACAGGGACACACATTTATGGGTTAGTGCAAACAAATCAGCTATATTTTTGCAAGATTATTAGAGTTTGATAGGAAGGTTACCATGGTGACTTGATTGTTCATTGTGACATCATATTTATTCACTATGGTTATTATTATTATTATATTTATTGGTAGCAGCTCATTGCATAATAAGGCATTAACATGCAAAATGCCACAACCTGCCATTTGTTACAGGCACCAACCATCGAACTTCGACCGCCATCAGCTTCAGGTGGTGACATAAAATCAATGGTGACAAAATAGCTGATCATGGCAACAATGTGATTCACCATGTAGGAACACAATGTATTATCACCATGCCAACACAATAGTTCATCATGGTAACTATGATTCACCATGGAGGAATATTTTGCCATGTACACAAAATTATATTTCATGACAGATCCATCATTCCCAGTTCCAAATATCGAGTATCCATGGCAACCAACTTACCAGTGAATAATCTTGCAAAGGAATGTTTAAACATACATGAACATAGACATAAGATGCATGCTTTGGCTAGTGATAAGTGAACTATACTTTCACATTTGATAGTTTATTACTAATTTAATTGCCAAACAAACACATTTTGATTTTATTATGGAGAAAAACAATGTATTATACATATAAGGGTACACAATGGGGTTAACCACATAGCAATATCATTGGCCTGAACACAATTTTAAGGGCTTAATATTCACTTTGCTTTCAATAATAGCACATTATTAGATGTGTCAAGGCACAATATCCTATACCACCTATGATAGCTTAGACTCAATTTGACTTATTGACGAAATATTTCAAATTTTATTTTGCATGTTTCAGTGGGTCGATATCTTCCCTCATATACAAAGATGTGCGGTTTGTCTTATTTTTGTAAGAAGATAGCAAAGATAGGGTTTTTCTAGAGGCAACATAGGTGCAGAACTCAGAGGCAGAACACAAGGACTAACAGTGGGCCTATCCTAGGTGGTTAGCTGTATGTTCATATGTACCACTAAAACACTGGAATATGATGATGTCTAAGTAATAATTTAGACCAACTGCAAGTATGGAAAATGCCAGCTTAAAATCACAGAACAAATGTTAAATATAAAATAATATGAATGTATAGTATAAGTATATTATTGGACAACAACATTTGAACTTTATATCCTATTTATATGTGATAATATACTTAAACACTTTCCCATATGCCATTGAATCTTAATTTCAATGTCTAAGTCACTGTCTAAAATTCTGTATTAGTGGCACATCAGGCCCATAACCAGGGGGAAGGGTTTAGGGGTTTGAGGAATCCCCCTTGGACAAAAAATTCTTTCAAATTATCATGCAGTTTTTCACCATTCTGAACAGTGATTTTGGGCCAAAGTTGTCAGATGTGACCCCCCTTTGGCAAAACCTGGCTATGGGCCTACACATCTCTATTAGATTTAACATTCTACAATCACATCAGGTCAACTTACCAGCACTTGTTGCTGACAGTGCATCTTTGTCTTCTGTTGGGGAACTGTCTGTCATCTGCAATAAACACATAAACATTAGAATATTTAGACTGGCAGAACTGGTTGAAGTTAAAATAAAACAAGTGTAATCTCGGGTACTTTCAGTGTTGTAATACCAGGTGTAAGTTGATGTTAATTAGTAATACATAAGTAATTTCAGGTATCTCATCTTTAATTTCAGGTTTCATACAATGTCAGGTTCTGTTATTTCAAGTTTGGGTCTTGTCATAGTAGCTAGAACAGCCACCTTGGAATCATTTAATATATTTGATTATTCTTTCTCAAGAAAATTATGGATCACCATGTATAACATGAACCCCTAGTGGCTGTCCGGGGTACTTTTTCTGGTATAAAACATCTCACCAGGCCACTCACAGGAAATAAATTATTATTTAGGTACAATTTTGTTGAACACACGAGAAAGCAGGTCCAAGGTAAAAGCCTTATAAATATTTGTTTCCTCCAGAGTAGCACTGTAATATAGCTTTAACCTAGCTTTGATGGAACACAATAATGCATACAGAAAAAAATATAGGTGTTACATTGGTAAACATTTAAATACTTAATGTATGGGAATAAATACAAGAAGCGCGAGCTGTGACATCATTTATACCTTTAACAGATAGTTAATAATAAGTCCTTTGAACTGCATTAATTATTTCCAGAAATTGAACATAAAATACAAGTAGGGGCTTCAATCAACGAGGATAATATAATGTAACTCAATCATCCACCGTGGCATCACATTGATCTATTATAGCAACAACCATCAATTCTTTCAAAGGGTTTCCACACAACACATCATGCATGTGTCTCAACCACACTCTAAGTTCCTAACTATAGAGCCATGCAAACTGGCATACAGTAAAACTTGTAATGAACATTTCATCATAAGTCCATATTGAACAAAGTTGGGTGCGAGTAGTTTTCCCATTCACCGATACGTTAATGAGCCCACAATGGTAACATCCAATACCAATACTGACTAAAAATAATGAACACCTTTCCAGGACCATCTAGCTGCTCACTATGCATTACATACGTTTTACTGTGATTTTGATGACACTTCATGAAGTCTATCTATCTATCTATCTACATTCTCATGCAGATCAAGCAACAGTTTTACGTGGTTGACTCAAATATCAATGTGTCAATTTTCAGATGAATAAAAATCATTTCTTTTCAGCTAATAATTAACCATTGAAATTCAAATATGGGAAATTATATCAGCATTAAACTAATTAAACATTGACATTTAAATATGGAATATCATCAATGCCCATGACCTTTAACTAAGAGAATCAATTCCTTTTAACTAATGGTATCATTCCTTTTAAAATTACAAAATCACATTGATATTTTGCCAATGCCTCTCACTAACTACCAGCTTCACCTTGATGACTGGTATTTCCTTATTTGCCAATAAAGAGAGCATTAAATATACAGATAAATTGAATTTAATACCAAAATACTTTAATGCTAAAATTTAAAATAAGAACTTGAATCTGGCATTCTTTCTGTTTGTAGTGTTTAATTATTTGTTACATGTTTGAAAGTTGAAATTAGATAAAAATTTTCTGCAAGCTTGTTGGCATGACACGATGTCATATGACATAGCACTAAAATACTGGACATCTGTTAATTTATCAGTACCCTTTTCAAGTATAAATAACATCATAGTATGATAGCAACGTACTTAGAAATAGAACAGCACATACCAATTACTGTACTGCATTCAAAAATATTTTAAATAAAATTCTACAATTGCACATTTCAATTTTCAAAAACAGAAACTTTGCTGAGATAAAACGCATGGATATAGGCTGCAATAAATGCAAACAAATCATTAACATGCAAAATGTTACCACCTGCCATTTGTTACAGATGCCAACCATCATCCACAAAAAGTTAGAGACTAATTTACAATATTTCAATACTTCTGGTGGTGATGTAATAGAACCCTTCCGCTGTAACACTATTAACATCCCTCGAAAACATGCACATTTCTCTAATACACACTGTATGAAATAATGCAATCATCACGCAATTATAATGATGCTGTGTGTTATTATCTGTTTTAAAGAAAGAACACAAAGATGCTTCAAAATGCTTAGTTCATTATCATCATGCTCAAATGGAGCATTGGAGTTTAAAGAAATTTTAAGTTTTCAAAAGATTTTGGTGTTATAGTGGTGTAGTGATGAAATCTAGTGTTGAGATTTTTCACTATGGGTTTGACTCCAAGCTGTATTAGGCAAGTTGTTTTTTCACCAAAATCGTATTATCTAAATGTTTTGTGCGCCTCACCCGCTGTACTGACGTGATGACAAGCGTGCTAGTACGAGTGGGAGTCCTTGGTCGAGAGTCTCTCTGAGTGGTTAGTTGTCGGACGGCAGTATCAGCCACAGTTTCATCCCCATTAACTTGTACAAGCTCTGTAAAGTGATGCAAGCAAATCTGCTGTGTTAGGTTAATCAATCATAAAAATGCATACAAGCACACAAATGTGACCCACTGCATAATGCATTCATTCACCCCTTTTTGTGAATAGTAGATTTTCCTGTTGGATTTGTTTATTCAATGCAAAAAGGGGTGTGAGGATGTCGTCTGCAGTGTTGACTGGGATGCGGGGTTCACATATTGTACTTACACGAGCAGGAAGTGTGGTACTTTTGTTGAAGTCAATTGGTTGCATTTGATCTGAAACACAGCAGTTCATTATAGCATGATATAGACCCACTAATTAATTTCTAAATTAAGACACGCCCATTCAATTTCCAGCATTTCTGATTGGTTAATGAGTAATGAATATTCAACTCGCTGGCTGTATTGATGATCAATGTTTACACCTCCTACGACCTAAACTAATTCAAGGTCTGGGATTTTAGGACCTAATTTAGATAATTGTGTCGCCTTAACTTGAAATAAGTCATATCAAATAGACAAATCGCAATACAAAATCTGCAGCCCTTCCAAATGAAAGAAATACATCTTAAAGTATTATACCATGCAAACAAGCGTTCAACCAAATGCAACCAAAACTACTGTAGTAATAAATCAGTCATTCATTTATGATATAAACTTTACAATTACTGAACATATATTTTCACTTATTTCGAATAAAATAAGCAGTGCAGGGTGGAGCATTTGTGACGAAAATAATTAAGTTAAAACTTTTTCAGAACAAGGTGAGGATAAGCATGTATTGTACAAAAGGTGTCCAAATGCAAAGCAACTCATGTGAGTAGAATAAAAAGAATTATAAATGCATAATAATAATAAAATTACAAGTAACACAAATGATGGAAAAGGGCAGCAAAAGGTCATGTTGAGCTAAAGAAAATACAAAGGAAATAATAACAAAGCACCTCAATCCGCTGTTCAAGCACTGAGACGTATCTCTGAGCTAGCTTGGAAAACATAAAATACAAATAAAAAGAAGAAAAGTTAGATTGAAGATAGGTAGGTGATATTAGGTTGGGTGAAATAAGCTTACTAGGGAGAGGGAAGGAGAGCAACAATTAAGGTCATGATTTACAGGAAAACTAGAAATTTTTGCATGCTATTGAAAATCTAAAAAAATAATAATAATTTTGTGAATTTTCACAAGGGCACCATTTTTCATCTAGCTAATGCAGTATACCTATGAAAAGTTTCTCCTATTTTTGGTAAAATCAAGATATTTTTGAAAATGGAAAAAATGGCTAAAGTTTGTTGCATGAAAATTTCTAGTTTTACAGTTTTCTATAGCCGAACAGCTCCTCCAGGTGATGATGTGCTAAGAGATAGAATAGGAAAAAAAAGGAGGGCTATGTTTCAATGCCATGATGGGTATAACTTGGGGTTACCAAAACATAAAGTATGACAATGGACATCTTGAACCATCACCTATTATCTCATTGATTTCAATATATTATAAATGGGATGAGAGGCTCAAGCACAGAATGGGTCTTTGAGTTCATTTATAATTTGAAACTGAATTTGGACTCATGGGCATGGCAGTCATCTTTTTAATGCAATCAAATAAAATTTAATTAAATGTAATAGACAAATAAAGGCTATATGGCCATCATGACATTTTAACATAAGAGGCTCCCAATGGGTAACTTTTTAGCTTTTTCCATGAGTGCCCCTGAAGGTATGAGATAAACTGTTACCCGATGTTATGGATGATTCATACGAGTCGGAAACTTTCCGAGTTCTGTTGCCCACGGGAGAGGTGGATACCCCATCTGTTCGACCAATGTCTCGTTTGATTACCAAATTTGGAGAATCTGTAAAATTTTAGTTTTGCAATACACAACATGCTTTTAATACTTCAACTGTGCAACCAACCACAGATTAGAAACTTGCTGCCATGGTAACGGTTTCATCTTATTATTGCGATGGTAATTAACACTGCTGTTAAAACTGAGTTTGGATATATTACAATATGCATGCAATATGAGCTAATGTTATATTTCAATTTTTTGCTATTTTGAACACAGAATTCAAACTTATTTGAAATGGAATGCAACTACAACAAATTGAGTAAATATCATGATCTTTTGTAGGTTTAAATCAAGTAAAGAGCCTTAAACAAAAACACACTCAAAATGAAGCTACATTAATACCTGTTAAGTGATTACCATGGTGTTAATTCATTGGATGTATATACTACATAAAACAACTATGACATACATGTAAATACACATTCAATGATTTTATTTCTTGCTCAAAAAGCAACCAATTCATGAGAATCATAAAGTTACTACATCGTATCAAATAAGTACCGTTTATAGATGTTTCATATTTCATATCTCGTGGCCGTTCAGTTGTGGTGGTAGTCGTGGTGATGACTGTGCCACTTGGTGTGACATGTCGTGCTGTCTCAACTTGTCGCCGTGGTGATGACAAGTCTTCGTTCTGGTACAAGGCAGCTTCAGCTGGTTCAAGGAACAAAAACTAGAACAAGAAGAATTTGGAAGTATTATAAATGTAATTCAAACATGACCATGCTCTATTTGAATTTCTCAACCAATTAATTCAATTTTACACAAGGCATGAACATGCAAAATGTCATAAACTACCGTATTATCTCTATTAAACGCACAGTGCGCTTAGCAAATTAGAGAGTGTGCGTTTAATAGAGATAATACGGTATGTAAGGCAATGTACCTCTATTGTGATGGATCCAGAAACGACTTCAGTCTTGTCAGGTCTTGGCAACAGAGGGATGATCTGTCGACTGCTGGGGTTGCGACGTAGCTCTTCCATGTGGACAATGTTACAACCAAGGAAGTCCTCTGGAAGATCATAATCCATCTCAAAAACTGCTAGTTTATTTCATTCATTTTTAATTCTGTACTACACATTTACTCTTATACAATTCCATAACCATAACTGATTGCTAGTATTGCTGATGTCATTAATTAGCAAGTAAATCATCAAATAGACTAGTACAGACAATGATACATAACAGAATATTAAATATATATTGCTTGTTCAATTATCATATAGAAAAGATCTGTAGGAACAGCCTAGTATGTTATTCTGTTATTCTGTAATGATCATTGAATTTAGAAATTGAAATTTTGGTAACTGGTCAACTCGTACCCAAGACAAGTCATACCCAAGTCAAGTCGTACCCAAGACAACTCGTACCCAAGTATATATTTTGTTTTGAATCAAGCATTGGACTGGGAATGTGAATAGATATACATATTATAATTGAAACATACTGTTCAGAATTTTGAACTGAGTGTCAATATTTTATATTGGCCACAGATTCAGGATGTTCAAGTGAAGAGACATATGTTTATAATCATTTTTCAAAATATTATATGTTTATGAGTGTTTGGAACAAGTGTCAGATTTAATGTTGTAATTATATTTATTTATATATATGTTTGACAAAAAATGTTGAGAACAAGCGCTTCAAGCACTTCTTTTATTTAATAAAAAAAATGGTTTACTGATCCATTGAGAAAAAATGTCGTCTAAATTCAAAAAAATATTGAGGCTTATTTGATTCACATTATAACATGAAAGCATTACAAACTCAATTTCTTCCCTAATATGCACCCATAATACTGAAAATAAGCTTGGGTACGAGTTGTCTTGGGTACGAGTTGTCTTGGGTACGAGTTGACTAGGAAGCGAAATTTTGATTCCTAATACTGGCTGTATATTTTGCCTGCAACTTTCAAATTCATAGTAATTTTCACAACCATACCTCCTGGTGGTTTTTCCCTATCATACACTTCAAACATAACTTCACTTGTGTTGTCTCCAAGGTCACTGCAATAAACAACAACAACAGGCATAAATGTTTTATCTCATCGCAATAGCCGTGCCCCATTTGTCTTTATCCTTCCAAACGGCAGATAAGAGGGGCTCTGGTATACCAGAATGGTTTATCTCTCTTTTTTAAAAATATAAATGTATTTTGCAACATGTATATATGTTGGATAAAAAATTTACAAAAAAAACTAACAGGTATGCGCATATTACAGCAATTCACAAAAACAACTAATTTCTACTCCAGTATATACATATACAGTTCTGCTAAAGCATGTTTCAATTGATGGTTAGGATTTAGTCCCCTCCCATCCCATCTCTAAATACAACCAGAACAACGGCAACGCCAAAGCGTAGCGAATCCCATCGAACAGCCATGGGTGGCATTTTTACAAACAAAGTATATAGCAAAAATGGCAGCCATTTTTCAAAATGGCTGCCATTTTTCAAAATGGCCATTTTGAAAAATGACCGCCTTCTACCAAAAGTGTCATTAGACAGTGTGCCATGCTGACAGTATTCACATACCAAATATGAACAAAATCGCTTCACTACTTTTCGAGTTATAGTAAAATACGTTAAAATGGCGGCCATTTTTCAAAATGGCCGCCTTCTTTCAAAAGTGTCATAGGACAGTGTGACATGCTTATAGTATTCACATACCAAATATGAACAAAATCGCTCCACTACTTTTCGAGTTATAGTAAAATATGTTAAAATGGCAGCCATTTTGAAAAATGGCCGCCTTCTACCAAAAGTGTCATCAGACAGTGTACCATGCTTATAATATTCGCATACCATATATGAACAAAATCGCTTCACTACTTTTCAAGTTATAGTAAAATACGTTAAAATGGCGGCCATTTTTCAAAAAAAATTTCAAAACGGCTGCCTTCTACCAAAAGTGTCATAGGACAGTGTGTCATGCTTATAGTATTCACATACCAAATATGAACAAAATCGCTCCACTTCTTTTCGAGTTATAGTAAAATACGTTAAAATGGTGGCCATTTTTCAAAATGGCGGCCATTTTTCAAAATGGCCGCCTTCTACCAAAAGTGTCTTTAGACAGTGTGCAATGTTTATAGTATTCACATACCAAATATGAACAAAATCGCTCCACTACTTTTCGAGTTACAGCAAAAATCGCAAAATAACGAGTAAAGGCCGCCATTTTTCAAGATGGCTGCCATGTGCTACTTTAATATCTACATTTCTAGCTTTATTAATGTCCTATATAATTTTTCTACATCTAAAACATATTGCTACTACAGTTTTACATATTGCACCTAAATTACTGTAAATTCGGCACTAAAATGGCCGCCATTTTGAAATGAGCGGCCATTTTGAAAATCGGCTTTCGAGCAGAACTTCTACATCCATAGGCTATATGTGTACAAAATATGAACAAAATCGGGCCAACGGTATTTGAGTTATTGCCCGGACGGACGGACGGACGTACAGACGGACGGACGGACGGACGGAGGCGTTCCCTATATCCCTCCGAACTTCGTTCGATGGGATAATTACGGTAGTGTAACATTTTTCAGAGTCCCAAGATCAACTGACTTAATGTTAACCTTTACCATGCTGCCTTATTTCAGCAAATATATCCCACGCAACTGGCTTATTTTTCAAAGAGTGCAAAAAATGATATACCTGGACTAAATAATTAATATCTCAATAACTACTGAATGAATCTGGATAAAATTTTCACAAAGGGAAGATACAGTGGCCTGGCTCATGAAAAAAATGTTCTCATGAATTTTTTCGTACATTAACACGACTGGGCATAAATATACCATGAATACTCCTCCGGAATCGGCCGCTCCGCCTCTTCGTCTGGTCAGAATCCAAATCTGAATTTGCAGCGATCGAATGTTCAATTTTTCAATTCAGAAAATATTCTAGTTTCTATTTTCGATGACCGTTATCGGCTTCCAAGAGCCTAAAGAGCTCGAAATCGTAATCCATTTCCTCCACATTTTCGTTGTGATCGTATTTGTCCACCATTTTGTACGATCCGTTCACTAAAAACGACTAAAACACTGTTTAAATTGTTGAATTGAGAATTATTTTTCGAAATATCGCCATTTCTAGGTCAACAGGAAGTCATGTTAGGCACTGAATAAATCGGGCAATCTAATTGGACAATACGAATGGCGCGAAAAAGTAAAGTTTTTAAAAGTTTGAAATCGGGCGTACGGGTCCGCCGGCAGTTGTGAGAGACATTTTAGTCTCGGCGGACGAGTCCGCCGGCAGCACGCTAAAGGTTAAATGAAGAAGTGGAACACCTTTGTTAGTGGAACACTTTTCAGAGTCCCAAGGCAAACTGACTTAATGTTAAATGAAGAAGTGGAACACTTTTTAGGGGTACCAGTGCTACCAAAGGTTTTCCACCTAGACAGGTTTTACTGTACTTACAATAAGAAGTGTTCATCCCAGAAAGGATTGACGGTGCTCTTGACTACACTGGTTGTATGTTTCTGTAGGGGCTCATCTAACTCTATGACAACATAGGGATCTGTTGAACCTTCAAACAAACACTATTGATTTTCAAAACTTATACCAATCACTATCATTTCAATGATCCTATAAATAAGTACAATGGGCAATTTCCTATTGGCCAATAAATCAGTTCATTATTATTCAATGCATTTGAAAGTATTTATATCCATCTGATATATTTAATTTTTCATTTTTAGAGAACAACTTTTGAGCCATAAATATGTGAGACTGTGAGAGGTACATGTTCCCAACAGAGATTTTTTGATACAAAAGTAAATTGAGTATTTTCTGAGAAATGGTGTTCACTAGGGACAAGTGCTCACTAGAGAGGAATGTTTACTTAGGTGTTTACTAGATAGAGGTGTTGACTAAAGAGAGGTGTCTACTATGACAGGGTTTGCTCTAATAAGACTAATAAGCAATCTTACCATAATCTGCCTGTCGCAGTCCATTGGCTTTTATGATCTTAACCAGAAGTCTTCTATTTCCTGGTACTTTGGCGATGTTCTGCAAATATCAATGAAGAATATGTCAATCAAACAATAGAGAAATTCTTAGACATGTATTTTTCAACATAACAATAATTATAAATACCATATCTAAAATTAAGCTTCTATGACCAAATATATATACTGCTCTTGATCAAGACAAATACATTTATATGAGATTGAGGTGTGTATAAAATATTTATTTTTACACTGTTGACTAATGTCCAAAAGTCAAGAAAAGAATTTGAAGAATTTATGAAAAATCGTTCAATGTTGTTGGTAAGATAATTACTGCATGCTCCAGAAAGTGAAGATAACATAATGTACATGTATATGTACAGAAATGATCAAATGCATCTACTGACATGATCATATGAATGTTTAACCTTGCATTTACCACCTACAGAAATTGTACTACATTTCATACATTCTTTAATTCTAATACATTACACCAAATTCTACAAATGTGATATGCAAGACAGCTTAAACAGCATTCCACAACAATTGAATTACAATTATACGAGGGGTGATCAATAAGTAATGGACGCTTTTTTACACAGATACTTCTTATGGACCAATCCCTTTGATTTTCCTACCAGTGATACATCATTCAATTATCTATCAATTCTTAAGATTTGAAGACAAAATATATAATACATGTTGATATATCCTTATTTCTGTGAAGGAGGTACAGGTACCCCGGGACCAACATTTATGTCACATACTCAGTTTTTAGTCAGTTTGGCAAATTTCAGTTAGATTTAAACTTTTTTTTATATGCAACAAATGTTGTGTTATTTGAAATATTTTGCTGACTGGTAACACACAAACAGTAAGTATTGTGATGTCAGAGTGTTGTATGGTCGGGGTTTGCAGGAATTGACCTTTTGCGATCAGAATTCAGGAATTTTGTTTATGGATACTGTTGTCATGTATTTCGTCTTATTGGTGTGACGTCATATAGAAATGATATTAGACATGATGGAATCACGAAATGGCGGACACTTGGCAGTTTTGAGCTAAAAATATTGTCGTTTCTTTTATGAAAACTATGGGTCGGATATTTCCCAGGTATGCCGATTTGACTAGATCATGATTATTTCTATATATGTGCGAAGTTTGGGTGAAATTCATACTAAACATTGATGCCTATAAGCGCCCCCCATTTTTGTCAAAATCGGGGGGCGCTTAACCGCTATCTATCAACAAAGCATAAGATATAGAAGATAATCTCTCAAAATCAAACATCTAAAGCTGGGTGGCCTAATTGTGACGTCACTACAAGATAGAATCCATTCGGTGATCGCAAATCATCAATTTGAGGAAGCATTGTGGAAGAAGAAGTTGGTGAGAGAAGGGAACACCCTACTCCATATGGACAATGCACCTGCCCACAGATCTCAAAATGTTCAGAAAACAATATCCCTGGGCCTAAAAAATTGAGCCCTTGGCCAATGCACCATATTGTCCAGATCTGCCCACATGTGACTTATTTATTCTTATAGTACTTATTTCTATAAAGAAGGGACGCAGGTTTATTGACATTGATGAAATAAAACAACCCGTGCAACTGCATCTTGCTCCCATTTGTCAGAGAATGGATTCAGCCTTGTCTCTTGAGTTAAGAGGATGAGGAATTGTGTACATGTAGCACTTGATGGAACCTATGTAGAGGGCCCTGTAGAATGAATGTGGCATGAATACCACAAAGTGATAAAATATTCAAAATCAACTATGGCATAACAAAATGGGGTAATTCATGACCATAATGGTTTGTTTTGTTCAGCCTGCATTCAACTGCGTTGCATGTTAAGCAAGCTAAAATAGCTTCAGAATGTTTGACGTCATGTCGGTCCCGGGGTACCTATACCCCCTTCACGGAAATAAAGAAATAGCAAAATATATTACATGTCTTGTTTTCAAATCTTCAGAGTTGATAGATAATTGAACGATGTATCACTGGTAAGAAATTCGAAGGTATTGGTCCATAAAAAGTATCTGTGTAAAAAAGCGTCCATTACTTATTGATCACCCCTCGTATATTATACAATACATGTAATACAAAATATCTAATATTATCATACTCAGTCACCATAGCAACAATTACAATGATTCCTTCATATAGTTAATAACTTAGGAATAAATCAATGTAAAATAAAATTTTAGACACTATACATACTTTGCACTATAAATAGTGTCAATTGATAGAGCATTTTGGATTTTTTGCCAAGTCAATACCATAATTTACCAGAAAACAATAACAATAGAAAATATAATAGACAATAGACAAAACGATAGACAAAATATCTAAACCATTCCTGACTATTATGCAGATATTCAGTGAGATACACAGATGCATTATCTACATACACATGGCAGCTACATTTGTATTTGAACTGGAAACTACAAGCATGGTTGGCATAACAACCAGCAATTGTGTTGTCATAGTAACAATCTAGATCCTCTGCCTGCAAACATTACTCAAATACTTGAACTTAGCTGAAAGGATGTTTCAGAGATATAGTGAGATGCAACATCCATACTTCATGAATCACGAACAGAGGAAGGGGGTAAAGATAAGCCATGATATATACAGGTCCCCAAACACAAGACATATGACCCCTCCCCCAAAATAACATTAGATATATGGATTGTAATACATCATTTTTTGTAGAAACAAGATCTCATGACTCATATAGGAAAACTTAAGACTAACAGGGTAAGGTACAGCCCCTCATTAAATATGAGTTATAAGAGGTATAAAAACAATAAGGTATAAGATATTTTAGTATCCATGACAACCCCATGACAACAAATATTCATCTCAAATATTAAGTGTGAAAGCAAACAACAAATTGTAACTGTAGACTGGATAGTTGTAAGGGTTTAAATTCTTGGTACATGAATATTTACCACAAAGCCATTAAATGAAGGTCAAAATGCCAAAAATAAATACTGGTATTATGTATAATACTAGATCAAAGTTAAAAACTGATGCATCATGTTATGACATATTTCAAACAATGTCATATCTTTGGGTGTATCGCTAGTAAAAATCATAATACAAACATTAAAATCATGTAGAACCTTATCTTATCTTATTATTTCAAATCAATTAAGCCAATCAAAAAGTGATTCCCATGTCGTCTATTAATGTCAGCAATGTGCATTTCAACTAAAAAATATATAAAAATTAAAGAGATCCATACTGTAAATCATCTCCTTACTTAAACATGATGCATATGCTATTACTAAAGTAGTGTAGTGCATGGTACCAATTTTGGGAGAATATGTAAAAATAAGAGCTTGATGCACTGACCCAATAAGCTTAAACTATGATCTAGTTTATAGCACATAATATATCAATGCAACTGGCGCCTAGGGTTTAGCAATTACGAATTATGAACTTCTTGTTACAACATTACATAAAGTGAGAGAGAGGTCTTATTAAGGTTACATCATGAAGCAGATTTCATACTTCATTGAAGCCACTTGTACTCATACACCTGGATTAACTGTGAATAATAATCAAGGAAATATTTCAAAATACTCATGTGAGGAACCGTACATCAAAACCCTTTCCAAGTTGGCACTACACCATTTTTGATATGAAGTCATTCTTGAATGAATGTGTTATATTTCAAATCAGATTGAACTTTTTGTTATGAAATGATTATTCTCTCTCTTACTTTAATAATGTGTCCCTGGGGAAGGGAGGAAAAAGACCCAAGAAGAAAGACGACAGTGTAACATCTTACCATACTTTTTTCCACTGCCTTTTGGTACTGGAACACAGTCCAAATATATGTCAAATTTCAAAAATATAGAACACATTCCAAAAATGAAGAAAGGTAACTGAACAAGGTAAAACAAAACATGAGAATGCACCAATGAACTTCAATGAAATGAAAAAAAGTTGGGATATTTCAACAAATTGAGAATTTAATATCGTATAGACATAACACTAATATTCAAGAATAAACTTTTCAAACTTATTATCGAGACAAGGAACATATACATGCATGATCCCCCCTGAATGAATTAAAATTAAGTGCAAAACATGTACAAACAGACCAGGCATTATTCGTGTTTTTTTTTAACCCAGTACCAGATCATATGTGAATTAAGAGGTATGAGAAAGAGCATAACAGACGGACACAGAAACGGTTACATGTTTATATCCATTTACAATCTTTATCTTCTAAGATTTCTAATTCATTAAATAAACAAAAGCACTTATTCAGCACAGAAATACAACTTATTCAGCAAGAAATCCCCATAGCCTAATATAGCAACTTGCTGTAAGATATATGTATAAAATTTAGGTTATCCCTTCAGAAGTGATAATCTCTGATCCTCACTAGTGGGTAAAACAGAAAACTCCCAGTTTGAGGTCATGCTTAAAAGCAATGGGTTATCTCCTATTTACAGAAGTGTGTGGTAATTAAGATTTCCTGCAAATCTCTACACCAGTGAAACTAATAGTTCCTGTCTAGAAAAACTAGTAAATACTAGTGAATCTTCAGCCTAAGGTTATAATACCCACATTTGAAAATAGATCTGTCTAATGGCGATGAATTACATTTTGATTCAACTCTATGCTTGCAACTTTTGTACATTCTTCGAGAGATAGCAGAGGCTGTGGTAATACCATGATGCATGGATGGTTTGTTATGATTCATTTATATTTTTAGAAACCATTTAATCTACTAAATAAAGTTATCTGGTACTCTGCATACTTTTCACATTTCTTCAATGTTTTCTTAAATTCAAAAAGATTCAAATGAACACGTTTAAATAAACAATAATATGCATGCTTGTACTTTCTGTTGAACAATAATTTGAATTGAATTGAATAATCTGAATTCAAATAATGGACTGATTTTATCACTTGTTTTCTTAAAAAAAGTTCAGAAAACTGTTTGGGAAATTCTAATGAAAATTATGTAAATAATTGATATCTCCCCAGTCCCCATCAAATAATCAAATGTAGACTAAATTGATTGATTTTAACATGAGGGTATGTTTGAGACCCTCTTTTCTAATAGCGAATCAGTAAAGAAAACACAAGGGGCAAATGTGTAGACCTACTGGAATTACAAAGAGCACACCATTCAAAATTTGTTTTCAGGAGTTTTCCCCTTGTTTTGTAATACTAAGAAACCCATAATGCCCATATTATCTTATTTTCAGAAACATTTCAGAAATGTCTGTAAGTAGCAACCTTCCAGCCTCTCAACTAGCATCATTGTATAGTATACAATTATTGACCTCTCCAGAGGTTTACTGTCAAAATTATATCCCGAGACTGTAAACCGAGACCGTAGGTCGAGGTTTACAGTCGAGGGATATAATTTTGACAGTAAACCGAATGGAGAGGTCTATAATTGTTTTGTTAGTCCAAAGAATATCTTAGATTTTCTGACCCTTGAAGTTGACTTGAAGTTGGATCCAGACCCTCGAGACGTTCATGTTGTATTTCAGTATATCGGCAGTAAGTTCTCTCAATGGAGTCAAATTACTCTCCTGGGCGAAGTCCACTAAAAGCTTTGTACAAAGTTTTAGATTTTTCTTCGTATTTTGACTGTCTTTACTCTCTAAGAGACTAATAATATCCTCATCTTTAACATTTTTGAAACGGCTAGTGCTAGCGGTGGCCATTTTATCGTCTGATAATGACGTCATTTTAGTGGAATGCTGGGAATATTATTCACCGGCAATGCATTGCGCGGTGTACAGTTAAAATTATTCACCGCTCGTTGACCAATCAAAATCGAGTATTTCAACTGAGGTACTAACAATAAAAAATGTACGATGAGGGTTAAATCCTTTACAAATCACTTGTCTGTTGGTACCTCCTTTTTCATTCTAAAACCTCACATCTTAAAACAGTTTCACTTGGAATGTTGAAAAATATTTTTTATTTTATTTTGAAATTTATTTTTCAGACCAGAATAAAATGGAGAACACGCAGTCTGTTTCTTTTTTCATAATAATACCCACTAGACCAACAATAAACTTGTAGAGCCTATTAGCAATAACCTCTATTGCAGAAAATAAAAATCTTATTCTGACAGTACTGCAGTATGTGGAGCTAAAAATATTCTCAGAAAAAACTGCAAACTATTGGTATGTATAAATAGTTAAGACTATCTAAGAGCACAAATCTTTAACGAATCTTTCATAAATCTCTTATACTCGCAGATAATGTTTATTTAGTCACTATAACAATATCGCATTTATATCTACATTCTAATTGGTTAAATGAAAAAAAGGATATAAAAAATCTCTTAGAAATATTGTATGTTATCTCACAAGATAGAGCTCCATGATGTTTTATTACCACCCACATGGGAACCCAATAGACTACAAATAGGAATATCATAGACCCAGGATCATAGACCACAAGTTGCATGTAAATCTTACACTTAGTATGTACATTGTATGTTATTGGGTATATTCACAGAATTTGTATCAAAATAGCATTAGGACGTACTATTACTAAGCAGTAATATTCGGTAAAGGTGAAATAGATTGTAATTTATGCAAATGTCTGTAAAGGTTAAATTTTAGCTGTAGAAGTAATGAACGCAACATCAGAAGAGGGCATGGTAGGACGGCATGGAGTTGATTCCCTTCCAAATTAAATCACATGGCCTATTTTAAAATCCCTGTTTACGTTCCTCAACAGTTGTTCAATAATTATGAAAAAAGGTTCTACCTCTCAAATCAGTGGACCAACCGTGACAGAGGGTACCCCTCATCATTGCCCCTTTATATGAATATCACCACTTAATGGTGGAGACTATATCTGGAAAGCGGAAGGTATCTGGGAACCAGATTCTGAGATTTCATACCAAAATATAAACATTTCAAATGTTCTGTTCCTCTCTAGATGCCATGGTTACCTAACTTTAACCCCAAAAAGGCTAAGCAAACTGGATAATTTTCAAACCACACAACCATAATAAAACTGCCCTGAAAATTTTTCAGCCTTTCTTATTGAAGAGCTAAATTGCCGAACCTCCTGAATGAAGAGCTCAACCTGAAAATTCTGGCATTTTCTATGTGTTTCTGTATATATTAGATAGGTTTTACTTAATAAATTAGACAGGCCAGATAAGTTTAACTATATATTAGAAGCAAATCTCTATCATATCACCTGTTTTGTATTTTTACCAGTACTCACATGGAAACAAACAACGCTAATCTTTTTCTGGAAAGATAAATTGTATTTTTGGCATTGCGAGACACTGTAACCTTTGTTACAACTTTCTTACCACAAAAACAAAAATGTTTGAATCTTTTTCCAAATGAAATGATTGGACATTACTTCTCCACCATAGTGTCTTCCCACATGAAATTTCCATATTCCCATGTAGTCTTATATGGTATTTCTTGAAGGAAAGAGTCTTCAAACATGAAGTACCCCTATCATATATAAGTGGCAAATACAACACCTGAAATATCTCTTCTCAATGTTCCAGTCCATGACTGACATGTACAGTACTAGGAACTGAAAGTTTATGTAGAAGAATAAAGCAAGAGCTTTACTTATGAATTATTTACACCTGAGAGTTCCAATCAAACATCTAGAATTTCAAGTCCCAAATGACAACGTTCACAACATCAAAAGCCATTGAACTACACATATCCCTGCATACAGTAACTTAGAAATCGTGTCCAACTATCCAAAGTTGTTGAAATATGTTGTTCATTTTTCTTTGATTTCACCCCTCCCCTACCCCTTAAAATTTAATGTCTTGGTAGATGAATATGTGCACATTGATTCAGAGGACATAATACGTAGTCCAGCATTTATGGCTTCGATATCACTAATCCATGATGTTTGACATTTAGGCTTCAAGAAAATATGATAATTTTCTACCAAATCCTAGGAATCAAACTTGAATGAGCACAATGAATACAAAATGGTGGTATACCCCATTCTTCCAAATGTACATTTTTCAACACATTATAATATTTGGACACAATCCCTCACTCAACACACTTTCAACTTGAACATACAATTTGAATTCAAATCCTATAGCTATTTCCATATAACAGTATATACCAAATAGGACAATGTACATTTAACACACATACTACCGAACAATGAGAATTGAGATGCAACATGTAATATTTACTCTTTGATAAGTATTCCGAAATTGGCGCAGTGTTGGAGGCTAAAACAAGAAAGTTAGTGGATGAAACCTAACTTTGTGGGGAAAAGTGAATATAGTTACAAAGATAAATCAGTCAAAAATGCAAACATTCTTCAAATGAAGATAATTCGCAACACAAAATATAAATATTGAATGTTAACGTGAAGGTGTTTTATTCTACAGCATTGTGTTAAATGTTTCACTCACATTCAGGTTAAATGTAATGATTGTAAAATCAATTTAATCAAATATGATTTTTAATCTGATTATCTAAACTAAATTCTCATTGGGAGCTCAATATAAGAGTACAGTAACACCTGTTTATATGTACACTTTCCAAAGCGTACACTTCAGAATGTGAACACTTTATTTGTGTGTTCAATTGACTCTTTGTTCAGAGCCTGTATCTTGGTAACCTATCAATGAAGTGAATAAGTTAAACAAATCTCAATATTGTTCGATATAGACAGGTTTTACTGTACATGTGTACATGGATGAGTTAAAGGAAAAATGAGTATGATGGGCAGAGTATGGTATAAGCTTTATCTATGATGTGAACTAAATTATGTGAAATCTAATCTATTCAAACAATTACTTAAACTATAGATATGAGTTTCAATCATCATTACTTCAAATCATGAGAAGAATAAGCATTATTTTAACAAAAATCCTGTTCAAAGCTCAAAAATTAAATCCTTTCAGCTGTAATTCACAATTCCATATATCACTCAGCTGACCAATCAGAAACGAGAATTTCAGAAAACACTTACTGCACTATGGAGATGAAGATCGTCAGTCTTTTGGATAACCTCATTGACTGGAAAATTTGGCGTCATCATTGAGGCTGGAGAGTTGGGTGAAGTAGGCGGACTTCCATAAAAACTTCCCATGGTTCCTTTACTGACGTTTAGGATTGTCACAGCACTATGGATGGCTTTAATAATGGCAGTTTCCACTCGGCTAATGTTGAGATCATAATTCTGGAAGAGAACAAAACAATATCTTTGATAACAGTGCACATCCAGTAATGATGTCAAAATAAATTTAAGTGAATGATTAAGTTTGTAAAATTCTAACACAAGAAAACCTACAATTGTGCACATTTTGAAACATAATTTGGATACATTAAATAAAAATAAGAGTAATTTTAATGAAAAATTCTTTGACAGATGTTTGTCTCCGCAGTCCAATCAGATATATAATTTGTGACATTCTGCTCATACAAGTCAAATAACATTGTTTCCATTTAAAAAATCTGAGGCAGGCAGATATACTTATTGCTCTGGGTTCCTTTGAGATTTAATTTGTGACATTCGAGAACTTTTTTTTTCATTTTTTGCAGTGGTACCTGGCTATGTGGCTTGATGCGTAGCTTCATCTCAGGTGCACCATGTAAAGAGACAGCAAGTGAGACATTGTCATTCTCCATACTGGCAACTGTCTTCACCTGAAGTAAAACAATGTAAAGCATAATGCATTAATATCAAATAATGCTGTAGTTTTATGATTACCAACTCAACTTGGCGGGATATAAGTTGATTGAACATATTGGAATTTATATGGCTGACATACCGTCTTTCAAAACTATATAGGAAATAAGGGTTCCCTTTTACTTGGAAGTACATGGAAGGTTGGAAAGGAAGCAATAACTATGATGCATTGTTTTCAGACATTGAGTACAGAAAAACCTGCCTCAGTTGAACATCTTTGGTACCTCTAAAGGATGTTCCACTTGGGAGGTGTTTAACATTAAATCAGTTAGTCTTGGAACTCTGAAAATGTAAAACCTGTCTTTGTGGAACATCTTTGGTCTTGGAAGGTGTTCCACTTGTAGAGGTTCATTTAACATTAAGTCAGTTGGTCTTGGGACTCTGAAAATTGTAAAGCCTGTCTTATTGGAACATCTTTGGTCTTGGAAGGTGTTCCACTTGTAGAGGTTCATTTAACATTAAGTCAGTTGGTCTTGGGACTCTGAAAATTGTAAAGCCTGTCTTATTGGAACATCTTTGGTCTTGGAAGGTGTTCCACTTGTAGAGGTTCATTTAACATTAAGTCAGTTGGTCTTGGGACTCTGAAAATTGTAAAGCCTGTCTTATTGGAACATCTTTGGTCTTGGAAAGTGTTCCACTTGTAGAGGTTCATTTAACATTAAGTCAGTTGGTCTTGGGACTCTGAAAATTGTAAAGCCTGTCTTATTGGAACATCTTTGGTCTTGGAAGGTGTTCCACTTGTAGAGGTTCATTTAACATTAAGTCAGTTGGTCTTGGGACTCTGAAAATTGTAAAACCTGTCTTATTGGAACATCTTTGGTCTTGGAAGGTGTTCCACTTATAGTGTATAGAGGTTCATTTAACATTAAGTATGTTGGTCTTGGGACTCTGAAAAATGTTTCATTAACAGAGTTGTTCTATATCTAGAGATGTTCCATTCAACAGGTTTTCCTGCACTTTATTTTGACAGCATCGATTGAATTCTTGGAAAATAAGCAATTATTCTCTGCAGATGACCTTGCATAGTTGACTCTGATTTCAATACTATTTAATCTTCCAGTGAGTCTATTTATACTGCCAGGTGCCTAGATTTATGCTCTCATTCTATTGTATATTTAGCAACATTATTGATGTTTCACTCATGGAATCTGATGGAAAACCAGGTAGATTTAATATTAATTCTTTGTATCATTCACCCAAAGTGATCACATGATCAACAGACTTGAGTCTGCTCATGCAATATCACTAGCCTTCCATTCACCTAACTAGTGATGATACTTTGATAGTTAACACTCCATTGCCTTGATATATATCCATGATTGATGGGAGGAGTAAGACATGGAATATGCAATATCAGGGATAAAAAATGGAATTAGAAAGGTAATCTAATAGAATTTATATACTGGAATTAGGAATGAAGAAAAGAAGAAACGTGGAATATATAGGAAAATGAGGGTCTTAGAAATAAGGATTATGCAATATGAAGGATCGAATTAGTAAATAGAATATGAGAAATATCTACCCAGGCCTGACAAACTAAACATATATCAGAGACAGCCACGAGTTCAGCTTTAAGGCTTTAAATTGCAGAATTCACAGTTCCCATTTTTCTGTTTGACTAACTGACAAACACAATTTCCCTAATTAAGGTCAAGGGTCAGGGATATGATACAACACCAAAATCAAAGTGAATCTTGGAATTGTTCTACAAACTTACACTTGATATATCACATAAGAATTTAGGAAACACATTAGACATTTATCATTTATTATGTATGCTAACAACATGTTCTATATAATTTGGAAACATTTTAATGAGAAAACAATCATACATATATATGCAAATTTATACTTTACTTACTACATGTACTCTGTACCCTTGTACTATAATACATTTGTATGGGAAATAAACATTTAATGTACCATTTGCATTCGTTCGACTTCACTTCTTAAAAGAGAGCTTCGTGTTCACTCTTTCAGTTTACAATAAATCTCTGATCTCATCAAGCCAATCAGAGTTCGTCGTCGAAATACGGATGACTTTCTATATGGTCATATCCTCTGACATTCCGCATAGTTAATGAACATGTATTTAGCACATGTTCCTTCCACTTTGCTGATTGATTGAGAAGGGGTCAGCGTGGTAGATTTGAAATGATTTATTACCTGTGCTGTCACAGGCACCAATCATCGGGGTAGGGCTACTAAACTGTTATATAGTCTAAACTAGGCAGAGTGTAGTCTATAACTAGACTTTGCGCGCAGGGTACATTTAATGAGACAACAACGACACATACACATACCCATATCACACTTATGACTAAAAACACGAACTATATTCTTTGGAAAATAATCAATTTATGAGAAAACAAACCTTTATCATCACCTGAATGCAATAACAAAAACATAAATATAACAAAATGTGAGAAAATATTTAAGGAAAGAAAGAAAACTAAGTCTAATCTTATTTTGGTCCATTCTTTGATTTATATGAAGGACATTTCTTCATCTTAAATCTTAAATAACTTAAATTTCTCAAAAACACAAATTAGGTTTGAATAAGAAACATAATGGGGTCCTTTTTATAAAATTTGAACATTTTACTCTCTACCTTTTGCTACCAATAAATTTAATAACCAACCAGAACAACAGCAACGCCAAAGCGTAGCGAATCCCATCGAACAGCCATGGATGGCATTTTTACAAACAAAGTATATAGCAAAAATGGCAGCCATTTTTCAAAATGGCCACCTTCTACCAAAAGTGTCATTAGACAGTGTGCCATGCTTATAGTATTCACATACCAAATATGAACAAAATCGCTCCACTACTTTTCGAGTTATAGCAAAAATCGTAAAATAATGAGTAAAGGCCGCCATTTTTTAAGATGGCTGCCATGTGCTTCTTAAATATCTACATTTCTAGCTTCATTAATGTCCTATTTAATTTTTTTACATTTAAAACATATTTCTATTACAGTTTTACATATTGCACCTAAATTACTGTAAAATCGGCACTAAAATGGCCGCCATTTTTAAATGAGCGGCCATTTTGAAAATCGGCTCTCGAGCAGAACTTCTACCCCCATAGGGTATATGTGTACAAAATATGAACAAAATCGGGCCAACGGTATTTGAGTTATTGCCTGTACGTACATACGGACGTACGTACGGACGTACGTACAGACGTACGTATGGACGGAGGGACGGAGGCGTTCCCTATATCCCTCCGAACTTCGTTCGATGGGATAATAAGTCATCAAGCCCCTGCCCAAATCTCCATTTCTTTCCTTAACTAATGCAGGGCAAATATGAATAGGTGAGGCAAAAATTGAGTTGAGGCAACAACCTCAGTCACACAGTCTCTGTTGAAAAAATGTCTGCACTAATATTTTTGTACTTGCCTCGCCTGCCTCATGTTAGCTACCCCCACCCAGCCACCCCCCCCCTTCCTGATGCAATGTTAGAGAGACTGAAGTAGGTGGCAAAACAGGGGTGTGATGTAAGACTACACAATAACTTTAAATGTGTTCCACAAACCTCTGCATTGAGTTTCTCTATGCTGACACTGCAGTTAGTTACAGAGATGGTGTCCATAATTTGGTGAAGCACCCCAACCATGAATGAGAGTTCCTTTGTCTCAATCTTTGCACGAATATTCTAAATAAGGAAGCAAAAGAAGCAAAGTTAGAAACAATTGGTACATCAGGCATTGTATATTCATGTTAAAGCATGAAAATATTGTTATCATAAATTGTATTAAAAATACTATGCTTTTTGAATGGCATTTTATAAGTTAGAAACAATCGGTACATCAGGCATTGCATATACATTTTAAAGCATGAAAATATTGTTATCATAATTGTATTAAAAATACTATGCTTTTTGAATGGCATTTTATAAGTTAGAAACAATCGGTACATCAGGCATTGCATATACATTTTAAAGCATGAAAATATTGTTATCATAATTATATCAAAAATACCATGCTTTTTGAATGGCATTTTATAAGTTAGAAACAATTGGTACATCAGGCATTGTATATACTGTACATGTTAAAGCATGATAATATTGTTTCATAATTGTATTAAAAATACTATGCTTTTTGAATGGCATTTTATAAGATAGAAACAATTGGTACATAAGGCATTGTATATACTGTACATGTTAAAGCATGAAAATATTGTTTTCATAATTGTATTAAAAATACTATGCTTTTTGAATGGCATTTTATAAGTTAGAAACAATTGGTACATCAGGCATTGTATATACTGTACATGTTAAAGCATGAAAATATTGTTTCATAATTGTATTAAAAATACTATGCTTTTTGAATGGCATTTTATAAGATAGAAACAATTGGTACATCAGGCATTGCATATACATTTTAAAGCATGAAAATATTGTTATCATAATTGTATTAAAAATACTATGCTTTTTGAATGGCATTTTATAAGTTAGAAACAATTGGTACATCAGGCATTGTATATACTGTACATGTTAAAGCATGAAAATATTGTTTCATAATTGTATTAAAAATACTATGCTTTTTGAATGGCATTTTATAAGATAGAAACAATTGGTACATCAAGCATTGCATATACATTTTAAAGCATGAAAATATTGTTACATAATTGTATTAAAAATACTATGCTTTTTGAATGGCATTTTATAAGTTAGAAACAATTGGTACATCAGGCATTGTATATACATGTTAAAGCATGATAATATTGTTTCATAATTGTATTAAAAATACTATGCTTTTTGAATGGCATTTTATAAGATAGAAACAATTGGTACATCAGGCATTGTATATACTGTACATGTTAAAGCATGATAATATTGTTTCATAATTGTATTAAAAATACTATGCTTTTTGAATGGCATTTTATAAGATAGAAACAATTGGTACATTAGGCATTGTATATACTGTACATGTTAAAGCATGAAAATATTGTTTTCATAATTGTATTAAAAATACTATGCTTTTTGAATGGCATTTTATAAGTTAGAAACAATTGGTACATCAGGCATTGTATATACTGTACATGTTAAAGCATGAAAATATTGTTTCATAATTGTATTAAAAATACTATGCTTTTTGAATGGCATTTTATAAGATAGAAACAATTGGTACATAAGGCATTGTATATACTGTACATGTTAAAGCATGATAATATTGTTTCATAATTGTATTAAAAATACTATGCTTTTTGAATGGCATTTTATAAGTTAGAAACAATTGGTACATCAGGCATTGTATATACTGTACATGTTAAAGCATGATAATATTGTTTCATAATTGTATTAAAAATACTATGCTTTTTGAATGGCATTTTATAAGATAGAAACAATTGGTACATAAGGCATTGTATATACTGTACATGTTAAAGCATGATAATATTGTTTCATAATTGTATTGAAAATACTATGCTTTTTGAATGGCATTTTATAAGTTAGAAACAATTGGTACATCAGGCATTGTATATACTGTACATGTTAAAGCATGATAATATTGTTTCATAATTGTATTGAAAATACTATGCTTTTTGAATGGCATTTTATAAGTTTTTGAATGTACTGAAGAAGCATGATTAAATGATAAAATGTGAAATAGCAAAGCTTACTTTTACCAGTATTAATCCAATAGTCATGTCAAATAAAAAGAGCACTTTTATCAGAAAATTTGGATTGCCCCTTATATTTAATCCTTTTCATCTTGCTAATACAACTTCAAAATGGCTAATTTATAATTTCTACACAAAAGATGAAATATTTTCAATAAGAGGTAGGAAGTAGAAAATGTAATCTAAAACAACTCTAAAGGAACTCACGAGTGTGTCGCTGGGGCCTACATCTGTATGCACATTGGTGACCTTAGGAGGGAGGCTTCCCGGCTGAATGCAGTCAAACTTCACCTGCACGTTTTCCTGAAAAACACAAAATAGAATGTTTAGGCACTGACAAGTTAATTGTTTGAATGGCAGAAATTATTACAAATAATTATAAATATGCATGTTAAGATCAAAGAAAAATTCTAAAAAGACAAAAAGAAACTTCGACCAGTTATGGAAAGTTATCGGACACAAGATACATCCAACTTGCAAAGGGTTTACATTGTCTAAATGCTCTCAATGACATCCTTATGCAAACATTCATAAATTGGGAAATAAAATAAAAATATCTTTTTCATTTCAAGTTTATTAGTTTCTCACATCAATATTTCCCTTTTGGTTCAACTCATATGAAGCAGATTCCCTTTCCAATGCTTAGACTTCACATGCTTAGTTAGTACAGCGTAACCTGTAAAGTGGAACACCTCTAGAAGTAGAACACCTCTGTTGGCGGAACACTTCAGAGTCCCAGGACCAACTTCCTTAATGCTAAATGAACCTCTATAAGAACACTTCAAAGTAGAACACTTTTTAGAGCTACCAAAGGTGTTCCACTTAGACAGGTTTACTGTACTAGGCTCTGTGTTAGGATTCATAGTGCATTGAACTGTATAGTAGGTATTATTATTAGAGCTGGATTGTGTTTTGATTAATTTTACTATCCCAGCACCTTCATTGATTGAAGAACACCATATTATTACCTAACTCACTCATTCTTATCATATCACATTCTTACCGTAGAAACTACCAGATGTTTGTACCCTGGGCGCTGCTTAGTTTTAAAACTAACCACTGAATATAATAGTTTACACAACTCATTATATTGAGTATTTGTTGCAATAATTTCAACAACTTCTACTTTCTCTTGAAGAGAGTGAATGTATTTAGTGATCACCCCAGCATTAAAGCAAGTGGGTGAAGCACCCACCTGAGATTTTAAAAACAGGCTTGAACCCACCCGAGATTTCATTTGCACCCACTTGAAAATGACAAAAATCATGTAAAATGGGCATATTTTGACCAATTTCAGACTGAATTGTGAAAATGAGAATTTTGCACCGACTTCAGAAAAAAATCCTGGGGAGAACAATGGGATTATATCACATTCAATAAAGAATAACTCTGATAAATCAGATTAAGTTTTAAGCATGAAATCCTGTAGACTTTATTATATATGAGGGAATGCTGACACAATATCATCTCCATGGTGTTGTCCAATTAATATAAAACAGATAATAATCATGAATCATAAATGAGAATCACATTGATATTGCATGTACTAATCCATTTAATAGTCACTCTAAAACATTTTTCATCAGCAATGTATTCCAATTTGTCACTCTCATGTTGTACTCGAATAAGATACAGGGTGTTCAAAAAAATTGGACTGAAACGAATTGTCATAACTTTGAGAAAACCTAACTGATTTTGTACTAAATAGACACTGTGAAAATGAGGTACCCACTTGAGAAAAGATCTTGTGGAGATCACTGTAAGGGATGATTTATATTGTGGGAGAAAAAGGAGAAATGAACTAAGAGAGAACATATATAAAGAGTACCATTAAAACAAACCAGAAATAGATTGTGTATTGTCATATACCTGAACTGGATTTGTCAATATTCACCATAAGCGCAAGTGGAATCGCATTCCATTACCACTGACAGGTCATTTTACGCTAGTCAGTCATTAATACAGTTGTTTCATAACAAGCTGAATGAAATTCCTGGATCTTATCTTCCTAATGAAATGTCACAAAATCCTACTCAGTTCTTCATTCAGGTTGATTACTATTCAACAAGTTTAAATTATAATCGATATAAAGGTTCCCCGTCAATCCTGGACGCAAACAGATGTGCATATATTTATCAAATATCTATTGATCACATTGTTGTTTGAGATAAAACAGAATAATTTGCAAGGGTTAATAGGAAAGTAATAATATTGTGTTTTATAAGTCCCCTTACTCCCATGGTCTTTCTATACCCATTAATAAAATGTTGTATAATGGTCCTGTTTTAAACTCAAGATTAGGGAGAAATGAGAAATTATAAGACATTTAGAAAGAAAAGTAAATCAAAATGTTATTGTTAACAAATGTAGAATTACATCATGTTATTAGAATTAATCTTTTAGAGAGGAACTGTATGAAAAGCCATGACCACGGTGTTAATTTGAACATAGGGTTCTGATACTGGTTGCCATGGTTACCTATAATTACCAGTCAGGTAGGAACTAGGTTGGTTTGTTTATAGGTAAACAGGGTTAATAAAATGCAAAAGTATACCTTTCCAATGGTTAACAATTGAACAAACTTCCAAACAGTATACAGCTTTCAAAATATAAAATGATACCATTGATGAGTCTTCATCTTTCCAAAATGTTTTGTTCAATAGTTATGTCAGACTATACAGTGGAACATGAAGGATGACTAGGATCATAAAGATCAGATACAGTAAAACTTGACTAATTTGAATACTGCTTCTAAGTCCGGCCAAAAGTGTTCAGATAGATTAGCAGGTGATCATATTTCAAGATTTCATAAACATGTAAGTCAATGGAAGATACCAAATATGGGACCAAGAAAAAATGTTAACATCGAGAAGTGTTTGAAAACATTTTTTTTTTTTCTATGCTTATTTAGGTTCTTCTAAGCAGGAGGCTTCAGTAAATCAAGATTGATATTTTTGATGTAGGCGGAGCCCTGGAATCTGGAATCTGGATATAAGAATCTATGAGTTCATGTCAAACTGTTTTATTTATCTATCTCGTATAAAAATTAAGCTATCGTGTTCAGAAATATGCACCAAGGATGTTCTGCTTTAAAAAGCTTAAATATTTTAAGCTCGATGAAAAGTAGTTAAAATACAAAAAGACACCCACTCCTTCTTCCCTTATAAAAGTATTTCATCTAAATGTAACAAACCTGATATAGGTTGATTTGAATTAGTTAATAACTTCAAGGACCTTATTCAAGAATTTGATTAAACATCTTTAAAAGAGGGCTTCATCTGTAGTTTTTACTACTAGCCTTTGGGCATTATAATTACATTTGCTGCGTGCAGGTCTAGTCATAAATAAAGCTCTTTATTAAGAAGCGAAATCAGAGGAATGCAAATGGTAGGCATTAGCGTAACATTCAGATATTATTGTTAATGTTTTTTCCTAACTAATAGGTAGATCATAATCAATACTAGCATATCGCATTAGTTGCATACCTTTTTTATGATTAAATCAACTCTCATGTTCTTTACATCAATGCATTAATCTATTCATGAGCACAGAAGGTTGCTCTGCATAGTTTGGTAAGGGGAGGCATCAAAAGTTCGATGTCAGGTAGAAACTAATAAATCTAGTTAGGTAACATTTCAAATGTTTGGCAATTTTGACTCAGAATGCCTTGGAATGGTTTAAAAATAAAGGTTTTACCTGATGCTTTCTTTGTCAAGATCATTCCAAAGGTTTCTATTCTATCAATAGTTGTTAAAAGCTGCAAATTACGATAGGAATTAATAAAAACTAGATCATGTTTAGCAAAACTTTTTTCAGTCAACGATCAACTTTCATCGTTTTTAGTTTTGGGGAGGAGGAGGGGGGGTCAGAGTCAAAACTAGATTTATTTAATTTCTGATCCAACATCGAACTTTTGATGCCTCCCCTAATATGGCCATGGGAATTACATTATTTCAAGTGAATCAGAGTTTGCATGATCAATTTATTACATTTTATAGTAATTTTTGATTTTTTGAATATTTGACATTTCAATATACTTATTGTAATTGGAAATCAATAATTGTCTTTGCAATAGTGTGCCTAGTTCTATTGACTTTAATGTCACATAATTGCAGATCATATTTTAGTTCTTTTTTTTTTGTTTATGTTCTGGATATATTTTAAGGAGACAGTGACGAGTCTGCAATAAAAACTACTCTACTTCAACAAACAATCAAGTTTTGTGTTCCATACAGTAGAAGATATCACCATTCTGCTTTTCAGGAGTCCCTTTACATACAATTCTTGGGAGATAAGATAGAAGAGTGAAATACCACAACTTTCCTTTTAGAGTTTCTTAAGGTAGGCCTATTGAGCTCATGCCCACACTTTTTTAGCATGACAAAAAAATTTTGAACCTGTTTGTGCAATTTATTATAGGTTCTGAATCTACATGTATATCTATATCACTAACTTAATTATCTCTACTTGGGCAAGCACAGCCTGCCTACCTTAAATTTTACAATTATTACCATGAGTAAAGTTGAACTGAACTAAAGTCATAATGGTATCATCCTTTACTATCTCTTGAAGCAATAGATATAGAGCCTAGTAAATCAGAATGAAATTAGATGTTTTCCTTGATCTATCAAGGAGGCATCAATAGATAGAGAAGTATAACCATTTGCAATAAATTTAATACCAATAGCAGCAATTGGTTGATGTGCTCTGAAGCCTTTTAGATTATAGAAGGTCATATAGGCAATAAATATGTTTCTCTCCAGCATTGAACGCAGCATCTAAATATGCTCTATAAAAATCAGAGCTAATTTAACTGGGTGTTTTTTATGACCCTCCTTATTTTATTGCCAATTTTAATAGATTATGGGGATATATGTGCCACAATTCTCTATGGAGGGGAAGGGGGAACATTTTGATTCATCAAAGTCCCTATTTAATGTTTCCAGAGATTGTAAAATCTACAAAATCTATAATTGGGTTAGAGGAGAGGGCATTTCATATTTATTCCTACGAAGGCAGACCTGCATGCCCCAGATTATTTTTGATCGATTGCTAATGATATTTTTGTATAAAATATTCTGATGGTTTAGTGCAACATGTGGTTGCTCAGTTGTTTTATGATTTAGTAGATTCTGTCTATGTCTAAGCTAAGCCCTTCCTTCATTGAAATAATAGAAGCTCTAGGTCTGCTCCTTATAGAATGAATTGTAATCAAAATAATGGGATTAATGACAGCCAGGCATTTTATTGATAGATTGTATGATGTATAGCATGGTGGCTTTAAATGTTGAAGCTTACCTTTT